GAGGTGTGTTTCTTGTATGCAGCAGAAGGATGGATCCTGTTTTCACATCCATTCTGTTAGCTTGTGTCTTTTTATTGGGGAATTGAGTCCAGTGATATTGAGAGATATCAATGACCAATGATTATTAATTACTGCTATTTTGTTGTAGTTGTTGTTGGTAGAGTGTGTGTGTGTGTGTGTGTGTGTGTGTGTGTGTGTGTGTGTGTGTTTTCCCTTCTTTGGGTTATGCTGGTGTGACATTATTTCCTGTATTTTTATGGGTATAGTTAACCTCCTGCTTTGGAGCTTTCCTTCTAGTACCTTCTATAGGACCATATTTGTGGATATATATGTAGCAGGAGTCTTAAAAGTTCTTATTAATAAGATCAAACCTGAGGCCAGTTATTGGGGTGAACTCTGGAAGATCAGAGAGACAGAACAAGCCACAGCTAACCTCACCTGGTCAACTTCTCAGCTGATCTTGTTTCCTCAGACTGGAATCCTCTGAGTCCTCATCCAGAACGAATCTCAGCTGAACTGCTGCTCGAAAGCCTGAAAGCTTAACCAGCCAAATGCTTAACCAGCCAAATGCTTAACCAGCCAAATGCTTGTAGTTTTTGGTCCTCACGCCTTATATACCTTTCTGCTTTCTACCATCACTCCCTGGGATTAAAGGCTCGCTTTCTGGGATTAAAGGCATGAGTCACTATGCTTGGGTGTATCCTTGAACAGATGGATTTCTGCCTCAGGAATGTTAGGATTAAAGGTGTGAGTGCCACCATTTTCTAGCCTTTGTATCTAGTGGCTGTTCTGTCTCTGACCCCAGATAAGTTTATTAGGGTACACAATATTTTGGGGAACACAATACCACCACATTTATATTGTTTAAATTTGACTTTATCATGGACTATCTTGTTTTCTCATTCTGTGATGATTAAAAGTTTTGCTGGGTGTAGTAATCTGGGCTGGTATCCATGGTTGCTTAGAGTCTACAGGACATCTGTCCAGGTCTTTCTGGCTTTTAGAGTCTCCATTGAGAAGTCAGGTATAATTCTGATTTGTCTGCCTTTATATGTTACTTGGCCTTTTTCCTTTGCAGCTTTTTTTTTTTTTTTTTTTTTTTTTTTTTTTTTTTTTTTTTTTTGGCTTTTCGAAACAGGGTTTCTCTGTGTAGCTTTGCGCCTTTCCTGGATCTCGCTTTGAAGACCAGGCTGGCCTCGAACTCACAGAGATCCACCTGCCTCTGCCTCCCAAGTGCTGGGATTAAAGGCGTGTGCCACCACCTTTGCACCTTTTAATATTTTTTCTTTGTTCTGTATGTTTAGTGTTTTGATTATTATGTGGCAAGGGGACTTTCTTTTCTGATCCAGTCTATTTGGTGTCCTACATGCTTCCTGTACCTTTATAGACATGTCCTTCTTAAGTTAGGAAAATTTTCTTGTGTGATTTTGTTGAATGCATTTTCTGGGCTTTTGAGCTGAGATTCATCTCCTTCTATTCCTATTATTCTTAGGTTTGGCCTTTTCATAGTTTCCCAGATTTCCTGGATGTTTTGTGTCAGGAGTTTTTTAGATTTAACATCTTCTTTGATCAATGAATCTATTTCTTCTATCCTATCTTCAACGCCCGAGGTTCTCTCTTCCAGCTCTTGTATTCTGTTGGTGATGCTTGTGTCTATAGTTCCTGCTTGCTTACCTGTATTTTCCATTTCCAGAATTCCCTCAGTTTGTGTTTTCTTTGTTGCTTCTATTTCCATTTTCAAGTCTTGAATAGTTTTATTAGTTTCCTTAATCTGTTTGTTGAGTTTTTCTTGGCTTTCTTTAAAGGATTTATTCATTTCTTCCAATTTTTTGGTTGTGTTTTCCTGGATTTCCCCTTTAGGACCTCTATCATCTTCATCAAGTTTTTTAGGGTCATTTTCTTGTGCTTCAGCTGTGTAGGAATATTCAGGGCTTGCTGTAGTAGGGCAGCTGGGCCCTGGTGGTGACACATTGCTTGGTTGTTGTTGATGATGTTCTTACACTGGCATCTAGGCATCTGGGTTTGGGATGATCATAGGTCTAGGTGCCAATTTCTGAGTTTATCTATGTTGGATGGATGTTTTGTTCCTTGTTTTCTGTTTCCTCTTTGGTCTTCTGGCCAAGGTGGCTTGTGGTTGAGTAGAGGGTCTCCACCCAAGTTGGGGGTTGGACTTCTGATGACCAGGGTGGCCTCTGATTAAGCAGGAGGGGGTTCCACTCAAGCTGGGAGCTGGAGTTCTGGCTGCTGGCGTGGCCTCTGGTCCAGCCAAGTGTTTTCTGCTGGAGTTGGGGGCTAGGATACGGTGACAAAGAGAGGAGGGCAGTTGGGTGTGGGCTGGGTGAGCACTGGCGGGGAGGGTGAGCACTGGGGGGGCTGGGGGAGCACTGGGGGAGCTGGGAGAGCACTGGGGGAGCTGGGAGAGCACTGGGGGAGCTGGGGGAGCACTAGGGGAGCTGGGCGAGCACTGGGGAGCTGGGGAGCACTGGGGAGCTGGGGGAGCACTAGGGGAGCTGGGCGAGCACTGGGGGAAGGATGTCTGCAGGTGGAGGGCTGACATGGGGTTCTAGCAACAGGCATGTCCTCTGGTGGAGCAGGGAGCTTTTGCAGGAGTTGTGGGTCAGGATATGGTGACAAGGAGAGATGTGGCGGTTAGGCTGGGCAAGCACTGAGGGAGTGAGAATGGTCTACAGGCAGAGGGCTGACCTGGGGTTCTGTCTAAGTGTTTTTTTAATATAGAAAATTTCAGAGAAAGGTGAGGGCTGAGGTTCAGTGAACACCGTGTGAGAATCCTCCATCAGCATTAATACCGTCACTCTTGTTCTGGTCATACAGTCCTGCCCACTCCCTCTGCTTCTGATTGTTTCAAGCAGATTCTAGAATCATGTGATTTCATGCATATATAGTTCAGTATATACCTCTAAGATCACACTAACACTACTGTCACATTCAAATACAGTGTTATTGTACTATTATCAAACATAGCCAACCTTCACATTTCCCCAGTTAGCCATGGATGCTCACTGTTCGGATCACTTTCCCATTGAGTCCATTTCCTTCAGAGTCTTTGAGTTTTTGGTTCCTCTCCATCTTCAGCTAATATTTTTCCCTTACAACCTTTGGTGCAGATAGGGCCATGTATCAGCATTTTCATTGGTTTAAGTTTTTCATCCTATCAGTCTAAATCATTTCCTTGTTTTAATGATTGAAAACAAGTTAAGTTTGTGAACTTAACTATTTTGAGAACTAAGCATGCAACTTTTTGGAAAGCATCCCTGAAATTCCACCTATTGTCAAAGCAAGGGCACCTCCCCTCAGCTCAACACCATATATTTATTTGCTAAACATTTCAAATCCATCTTCTCTCTTATTGTCAGTCTCATGATAACCCTGGAAGGGCTGACATGCTTATTTATTTCCATGTGAGAAAGTATGGGAAGGTTAAAAGGAACATGTCTGAACATGGGTCACATGAACCCCTTTTCCTGGAACAATACTAGTGGGACACTCTGACCTTCTTTATGTACTGTGTGCCTCTGGCCAGAATATTCTGAGGAACCAAATAGAGTGAGAAGATTATGACCCATCTTGTAAAGAACTTAAACTCCAATCAGGTACATACCATGGGGGGGGGGGGGGGGGGGATACATGGTTCAGGGAATTTAAAACATCTGGAGGCAAATGATCGTATAAGAGTAGCATAGTATGACCAGACAGCCTGTGCTGAGAGACAACCAGGGCACCACCAGGGGGCGCACGGAAGAGAAATCGAGTGTGAACAGCACCAAGAGTGGGGTGAAAGGAAAGAAATGTTTAGCTTGCTTCCTGCCCTGCTTCCTTTTGAGATCACAGTAACCCAGAGAGCACATCTCTGCAATTTTGGGTGAATGTAACTGTGTCAGGGGACACTTAAACTTTAGTCCCAATCCTTCCCAGATCTTCCTTGTTTACTTCACCTCCCTGCAGCTAACATGATATTTCCAAGCAGCATATCGACACTTGCTCCAAACTCCAAAACTTTTGAGACTTTACTTATGCTTTAAGTGAAAAAGTTCACATCTGATCTCATGTGTTAGACTGCAATCAAAATGGGATGCACTAAAAATACGACCTAAAATTTCCTGAAGGCTATGCATACAAGGTATATGAGAAGTATAATATAATATTGCATTTAGATTTAGGTAGCATCCACCCAAATATCTAATTATATATATGAAATATTCCCTAGTCCAAAAATACCCCAAATCTGAAATGTTCCTGGTTCTTAGCATTTGGGATAAAGGGTGATTTAGAAAATTCAACATCTTGAATGTCCTGTGGCCTCTGCAACAGCAACTGCTTCATGACATTATTACTAAGGACAGGGTAATTATGATTAAATGCATACAGCAGTATCTGCTGCCTGAGGAATGTCATACGTAAATGTTCATTAATAAAAGAAAATAAAGAGGAATAATTTATCAAGTGCTTTCTGCATTCCGAGACCTATCGATTGCCATAGCCATTAATATTAATCCTTAGGATCACCCTAGAAGAAATAATTACAGTTTCTATCTTACAGATAAGGTGACCGAAGCCAGGAGGAAAATACCCTCTTTGGCATCCCAGGAGTGGTAGTGCGCACCAAGATCCTAACATGCCTAACTCTGCATACAGTGGAGGCAAGGGTCCTGCTGTAAATTTGGTGCCTTTGCCCACCCAGCTGCTGGACACGAGTTTTTAAGTCGTGCCCAGGTGACATTGAAACATATGCATGCTCTCCAGGAAGTCTCACTTCTGACCTGGATCTCGTGTGCCATAGTCACTGATCAGAAAAGTCCAAAAGCCAGGCGGCCTCACTCTTCTCCCTGTCTTCACCCCTTCCCTAAGGAAGTCATACACTGTCCCTTAGAGGGTTAGCTGGCTCTCATGGCCTGTGCCCCAATACTTCCCAAATCTAGGCTAAACACAGGAGTAGCAGAACATCAGCCATGCTGATTCCTGGAGGACACCTCGGGCCTAACCTGTGTGTTTCTTGCAGTCATGTTTCGTCTCTATGATTCTGATGAAAACGGACTCCTGGACCAAGCGGTAAGCTTTCACTTTCAACAAAGCCATGGGATCTGAGGGAGAGCAGGGAGAGCAAGGTACAGTGAGGGAAGCATCCAAACACCCCAGTTCCATCCCTACAGGAATTTCGGGTTTCGCTAAGGGATGCAGATCATGAGCAAAGTCCCTACCTGCTGCTTCCACAGAGTCAGCTTGTAGAGCATGGACTCCGATTTTCCTTCATCTGAAACCACACAGTCTCAGGATAGGGAGATATTCTCATATTTTCATCAAATGTAACTTCCCTGTCCACAGACTTCCCTTGAAATTTCCTGCTGGGACCCAGGGGTCAAGAGGAAGGGATCAGAGAAGCAACAGGCCCTGGCAAGAGGAGAAGAGGAAGTTACTGTCGAGCTTCCTATCTACCCAAGCTTAGGAGCTTAGGGGCCCGGTTCTGTCTGTTCTGAACCCTGCACCCTCACTTCACCCCTTCAGGAAGAGGCAAGAACAGGTCAGGACCAGAGAGTGAGAGGAAGGCTAGAGAGAAAAGTCTGAGAAAGAAGGAGGCCCTGGCTCCAAGCCTTGTGGTCCTGACTGACTGCCGGGGCTTACGGACAGTAAGGCTCTGAGATTGAAGTGTGTATGGCTGACCAAAACCAGAAAAAGAAAGGAAGGAAGGAAAAGAAAGAGGGAGGGGGGATAGAGGGAGGAAAGGAAAGAGGGACAGAGGGACAGAGGGACAGAGAAAATAAGTCCACTAGGCCAATGAGCCAACTCTCTCTACTCTGGTAACTTCGTGGTAACAATGGCAATCTTGCATGTGACAGCAGCATTGCAGGAGTAACTGGTTCAATCAGAACGATTTTAAAGATAATGTTGGCGGGCAGAAACAAGTCTCAAGAGTCCTCTGACTCAGCTTCACCCCTGGAATCCCTGGCTGGTGAGCTCCCAGCTCCTTTGTGAACCCTCTCAGTGACAAAGAGGCCACCCCTCCACAACAGCTGTCTCTCTACTGGGAATGAGCTGGACAGGGCTTCCTGCCTGCAGGCCAGGCATGTGTTTGCTGGACAACACACAATAAGCTGGTGTGCCCTCCTTCCCCAACCCAGGAGGAACTGAAAATAGGCTACCTTTTACATGGTCCCTTCCCTGCATCCCTCAGCTTCCGGCTGCCCTCTGCTGCTAAGCAGGGCAAGGGAAATACAAGTTACACGCGGACCTTTAATATTTCCAAGCACTATCGCCCATTACACAGAATCTCCTCCAAACTGAAGTGTAGCTAGAGTTTTCCTGCCTGGCCCACAGTCAGGGCAAATCTCTCTCACCTGCCAGTCCCACAGCCGTCAGACCCGACCAAGTAAACACAGAGACTTGTATTGGTTTCAAACTGTATGGCCATGGCAGGCTTCTTGCTAACTGTTCTTTCAGCTTAAATTAATCCATTTTTATAAATCTATACCTTGCCACATGGCTCGTGGCTTACCGGCATCTTCACATGCTGTTTCTCATCGTGGCGGCTGGCAGTGTCTCTCTGACTCAGCCTTCCACTTCCCAGCTTTATTCTCCTCCTTGTTCCGCCTACACTTCCTGCCTAGCCAATGGCCAATCAGTGTTTTATTTATTGACTAATTAGCAACACATTTGCCATACAGAACATTCCACAGCACTTCCCCTTTTTTTTTTTTTCAAAAGGAAGGTTTTAACCTTAACAAAGTAAAATTACATATAATTTGGGAATTTGGGCGTAGCTTCTCTTACTACTTCCTGCTGGAGGGGGGCGCTGTATCTTATGGGGAAACAAAGAAAATTTTAGGATTATGGAATAGTCCATGAGGCTGTATCGTCTGAGCCAGTTGCCTTCAAACCATTCTAGATGTTGGATCATCTGGGCCATGGTGTCATCGGAGACCTTTCAGGGGGTCTTGGCTGGTCAAACCTGATGTATCTTAATCTTGAACAAATCCATAGCCTCTGGCTTTCTGTGGAAACAAAAGAGACTCTTTTCCAAAGTAACATATCCTTATATTCAAATTTTGAAGTCAAGATACCTTTAAAATATACATTTTGGCGTAACTCAACAACTTTTACAATGAAATGTTTTTCTGCAGTTAAAAGTCCCAAAGACAACACAATCCAGATTCTCTGTGTAATATCCATTTTTACGTGGCTTATTTTTTATACTACCTTTACTGTCTCTTTAAAGACTTTATTTTTTAAAACTATGTATTTGTTTATATAACTCTATATATCATCTTTTTTGTCTCTTTCAAGCCTACGTATCTTTTACACACATTTTAAACTATTACATCTGAATCTGTCTTATTGTGAATCTATTGCCTTAAACTGCAGCAGCTGTGGCTGCTGGATCCACCCACCTCAGCTTCCCAACATGGCCATGGTTTACCGCCAGCTCTGGGAGCTATCGGGGGTCTATGCTTTTAGCCAAGCAGCGTGTAGCCCAGAAACCTCCCCTTTTGCTCTGCACCAGCAAAGGCTAAATCCACCATGCAGCTCAAAGTGCCACTTGCAAAGGCCTCATTCCCGCCATAGGCAGGTCGAGCACGCACGCTAGGAACCCACCAGTAGCTCAAACCAGCAGCTGCCGCTCATTTGAGAGAGACAATTAGGAACTGTTTTTAGCTCCGTTTTAAAATCTTTTCTCAGGTTTTAGGTGGAAACTCTTGCCACCACGTTGGACGCCATTTGTAGCTAGAGTTTTCCTGCCTGGCCCACAGTCAGGGCAAATCTCTCTCACCTGCCAGTCCCACAGCCGTCAGACCCGACCAAGTAAACACAGAGACTTGTATTGGTTTCAAACTGTATGGCCATGGCAGGCTTCTTGCTAACTGTTCTTTCAGCTTAAATTAATCCATTTTTATAAATCTATACCTTGCCACATGGCTCGTGGCTTACCGGCATCTTCACATGCTGTTTCTCATCGTGGCGGCTGGCAGTGTCTCTCTGACTCAGCCTTCCACTTCCCAGCTTTATTCTCCTCCTTGTTCCGCCTACACTTCCTGCCTAGCCAATGGCCAATCAGTGTTTTATTTATTGACTAATTAGCAACACATTTGCCATACAGAACATTCCACAGCACTGAAGGGTCCCCGTTCTGCATTGTTCCTCACTAGCTGTTTTTAAATACCCACACTGGACAAGCTCCAGTTTTTCAACACCATTATTAAAACGTGGCATACACTAGAACCTGCCCATCCATTGCTTTACGTACACAAATGTGGTTTGGCCAGGGTAGATGGGGGCCTACTTCTTCCTGAAGCTAGACCACTCCGCTTCTATTTGCACAGTCCACATGAGTCTCATTCTCAGTTCCTAAGTCACATTCGTCTCATAGACTCCTGAACCCCCGTACACTCACACACTCTTCCATTGAAATGTTCTACCCACTCTGCTGCACCCATTCACTGCCTCATCCTGTGGTTTTGCTGTGGGTTACTGCCTCCCTTTGAGAAAAGAACCATTTACCTGCAAGAGGCTGAAGAAGAGGATCACAAGTTCATGTCCAGCATGAGATGGAAGAGGAGGAGAAGAATCGGGGCGTGGGGGCAGGGAGAAACATACAGAGAGAATACGTACCTGTGTCAGGGCCTGCAGAGATTACTCAGGGGTTAAGGGTAAATACTACTCTTACAGAGGACCCAATTTCAGTTCCTAGCACTCATGTTGGGCAGCTTACAACCACCTGTAACTGCAGCTCCAGGGGATCTGATGTCCTTTTGTATTCACATACATACTACACACACACACAGACACACACACACACACACACACACACACACACACACACACACACACACACAATTAAAGATAAAATGTGTCTTAAAAAGCAAATAGCAAGCCAGGCGGTGGTGGCGCACACCTTTAATCCCAGCACTCGGGAGGCAGAGGCAGGTGGATCTCTGTGAGTTCAAGGCCAGCCTGGTCTATACAGTGAGTTCCAGGAAAGGCTCCAAAGCTACACAGAGAAACCCTGTCTCAAAAAAAATCTAAAAAAAAAAAAAAAAAAAAAGCAAGTAACTGTTGAGGCTTGGCTTGCTTAGCTTAACCTTACATTCTACATAATGGAAATAACACTTTCTAATTCGCCCACACAATCTCCTAGAACAATATAACTATGAACATCTTAGGTAGTATCCATACATAAGATGCTAACTGACACCAAACATTTCCCCAGCACAATGTTTCCATGGGTCCCTCTATGTACTGACTCACCAGCATCCGGCACATTGGTAGCATTTTAGGTAGAGACAGGCCTTGGTGCCAAAGGGGTAATCCATCAGGCAAATCAGCCCTTAACTTCCTGTTCGCCAAATTCCAGGCTCAGGGTTGACTCTAAGGCAAAGGGAAGAGGAGATACTGAAATAAATCTAAATCACAGTGCTTGAACCAAGACCAACACAGGACGTGAACCTGACTCCAAAGGCAGACACACAGATCCCTGGCTGCTAAGGTCTGGGAACGGAGAGCAAATGATAAGAATGGTAAAAAGAGGCCTGTCTTCACCTGCATTTGCGGAAGTTACAGAAAAAAAAGGGAGGGAGGGAAGGAGGGAGGGAGGGAGGAAGGAAGGAAGGAAGGAAGGAAGGAAGGAAGGAAGGAAGGAAGGAAGAGAAAGAACACAAGCTTCAAGATTCCCTATGGTTTTCGAGTCAAAGGACAGAATGGTGGGAGGAGGGAGAGGCTTGGAGTCAGTGCTCCAGGTGCTCCATGCAGCTCTGGTTTTCACGTGCTCTGTAAGCATCTACTGTCCACTGGCCTTTGTGGTCAAGACAAAAGAAAACCGCTGCCCTTGTGGGATGTCTGTGATTTGCACCAGCTCTTCCTCATGATTCACCCTGCCCACCTTCCCACCAGGTTTGATTTTGAGTTTTGCTCTTATTTTGATTAAAAACAAAACAACCACAACTTTGATTTTCTCCCTTTGATGCTTTTCTCTCCCGATGTTTTCTAGGAGATGGATCAGATTGTGAACCAAATGCTGCATATTGCCCAGTATCTGGAGTGGGATCCCACGGAGCTCAGGCCTGTGAGTTTCTACAGACACAGTTCACTCCAGAGAGAGCGGGGCACACCTGGGGTGTGGTGTAATGGTAGGATGCTTGCTCTTGTGTGCCCCCAGACCATCCCCCCAGCAGCTCCTTTGGAGCCCTACACTTTGACCTCCCAATTCTCTAACAGGAAAGATGCTTAAGGCAGCAGGAGGAAGTCTAGACACAGTAGAAACTGCAGTTTCCCCAACCTTCCCACCAGAGACAGTTTTACGATAGGAATTCATAGAAGAGAGGGGTTAGAACCTGGAACAGTTCGGGGCAAAGTTGCCCATCATCTGCTCTTCTTGTTAACTGCCCTGGCAGGCACTATGAACCAGGTATCAGAGTAAACACTTTGTGTGCATTTCCGTGAACACAGCGGTATTATTTCCATTTTAAGATGAGCAACCCAGAGCACAGAGAGCTAGGGTGAGTCACCTAAGGTCGGGGCAGGGCAGAGCTGGACTTAGCACCCTGGTGTCCCTGCTGCTTTGACCCCTTACCACTTCACTCACTCTGAATGGGTGAAGGGGAAATGGGTGGAACAGAAAACATAACACAGGATCAACGAGAAAACAGAGAGCAGAGGCATCCAGGCAAGGATGGAAATGAACCATCGCTCTTTGGATCCCACAGATATTGAAGGAGATGTTGCAGGGGATGGACTACGACAAGGATGGCTTTGTGTCTCTACAGGAGTGGGTCCATGGGGGGATGACCACCATCCCATTGCTGGTGCTCCTGGGAATGGATGACTCTGTAAGTCAGTAAACTCACACTTAGTAGCTCTTGATTCCACATTGTTGCTAGTGTCTGCTCCAGACTTCCTGATGGGCAAGCCGTATGCTCCAGGCTGGCTCCAGGGTGCTCTATATTTTCATCCCTTTCACTTGTTCATGCCCAAAATGCACCCTTTGACTCACTGTTATTAAGGGGAATGTTGTTGTTGTTGTTGTTGTTGTGCACACTGTAAGGGAACACAGAGCGTTTGCCTACAAGACACATACTCAACCAGGCTAAGTGCAAAGGAAACTTCAAGGTGAATCTCATTTTCTCATCAAGTTAGGTTTTAAGATGCTAGGACAGGGACCAGTAAGATGGCTCTGCACATAAAAGCACTTGCCACCAAGCCTGATAACCCGAGTTCGACTCCCAGAACCCACGTGGTGAAAAAAAAGAATTAACCTCCTAGTCATCTGACCTCCACATGCCATGACACAAACACTCACACCCTCTGCCAATAAGTAAGTGTCATTTAAAACTAAAAGAACTGGCGAAGGAGGGAAGGAAGGGAATGGGGGAATAGTGATCTGCTGTAGGGGCTTTCATGCGTGGACTCTGGTTAAGCAATCAAAACAGATAAGGTGGGTCTTTTTACCCCAATTTGTACAGATGGAAAACCAGAGTTCTGAGCAGAAGAGGGGCTAGGTTTTGTACCTATCTCCAAATTCCCCACACTTTCCAACACCCTACACCTTAGTCAGTGGTGAGAAGACACCTTGGAGGGGATTTGGCTTATTCCTAAAGGACAGGAAAGATTTTGAGACCTTACTGGGTTTTCTATTTCGCAGGTGTGTGTGTGTGTGTGTGTGTGTGTGTGTGTGTGTGTGTGTGTGTGTGTGTGTGTCTGAATTAAACCAAAGGCCTCACACATGCTAGGTGAACACTCTGCCACTGGTCTATACCACTATGCTTTTTTACTTTTTATTTTTGAGGCAAAGTCTCTTTCAGTTGCACAGGCTGGCCTCAGACTTGCTCTGTAGCCCAGGTAGGTTTTGTTGCTTGAACTTGTGACCCTCCTGATTCGGTGTCCAGAGTAGCTAGGTTTACAGACCACATACCAGGCCTGGCTTGATAACACGTTCTGGCTCTTAGGGTTATACATAATATGACTGTCCCTTTCATTCTACAAATGGAGGTCCAGCACAGTAAAGGACTGGCCAAAGGCACACACCTAAGCAGAGGCCCAGCTGCCACACTCAGTGACATTGGGACCTTCGTGCAGTGACCTCTCGCTGAGGGGCTACACATGCAAGAACCCACATGAGCTCGAAGAAGCCAAGTAGACTGTTGCCAATGCTCACTTGGCACCGGATCAAAAGGGCAGCTCTGCTTGGCTGCTGCCCTGACCCACTGTTGTTGGTTTGGTTTGTTCTCATTTGGGAGAACGAAACTGGGACCTTTTAAGCACAAGGAACCAATGTCTGTTCTCCTCCCTACACTGAACATGCTAATGTTCAAAGCACCACCAACATCTTGTATGGAAAGAGTCCACATTTCTGGAGGCAGCAGGTAAAGCCTGTGTATTTCTTCAACATCCTTTCCAGTGTCCCCTTCAAACACCAAATCAGTCATAAATAGAACTAGAATTCACATCACAAAACGTGGGGAACAGAAAATAAATGTAAATTTCATTGATACTAATCAAAATCCTTAAAAATCTATTTTAAGTGTGTGCTAAATAAATTTTCAAATGAGTAATATCCTGGCCTCTAGAGAAAGCCCATCAAAGTCTTGAATGGCCTGCTGCTTTCTTGCCGCTTTCGCTCATACATGTGACCACTGAGAATCTGGGGTTCTCGGTATAAAGCACGCATAGTCTGTCTTCTGGTAACATTGTGGCAATGGGGCAAAAACCTGGCCAGAAATGAATGAGCCACACGATGGCGCTACAGCCCAAGCAAAAGTTTTCTTTGAGGCCCTCAGTTCATTTGCCTCTTGGAGCTGGGGGTTTGGTGTAGGTGTGGGATTGGGCTACATGACTTAGACAATAGAGGTGTTTCCAGATAAAATGATGGTCCTGTAGTTGGTGAAGAACCAGATCTACTGACAGAGTGCCAAGTTTCCTTCCGCCCAGGAAAATCCTTATAGAAGGTGGTGGAGAAAAGTGCATGTTGACTACTGACGCTGTCACTCATTCTTCCTGTGGCACTGGCCTAGTGACAGAATTCCTGAGTCTGTTTTTCGGTTGGTTTGTTTGTTTGTTTGTTTGTTTGTTTGCTTTTCAATCTGTATAGTAGAAATAAACTTACTACTATTCCACTGCATTTGTACCCCACAGTATTTGGTACAGATTAGGATCTGGCAGTGGACTGGAATTAAATTTATTATTATTATTATTAGCATCATGATAAGTCCTTGGGCCAGATATCTGCCAAAAGAATGAGTAAATTGGTCTTTTTTTGTGAGTTGCTACCCACCTGCAAATCTTCACATTTAAGTGGAGACCCTTGAATAAAGAGACCTTAACTCTGAACAACTCAGGTCTTGAAGAGGGTTTTCAAGCAGTAAGAAGACAAAAGTTAGGGGAACAGGTAAGAATTTGACAAAGAATGTGAACTCCAGGGACCACAAGACGTCTAGGCCCAGCCGCAGGGCTGGCCACAGCAAGCAGTACAAAGGCATGAACACCCAGCTGTGAGGACTGGACGCCATGTCCCTGACCACACATCCAAGGTAACTTTACAACCACGGTTTTCACTGCCCTTCAGGCCACACCCAGTGCTGCTCAGGATGGAATTCCTGAGAAAGATGCAGCAGGAGAGATGCCCCCAAAACCAGACTTAAGCCAGGTGCTGTACCAGGGCCTGGAATGTGGAGGACCCCGCCTGCCAGGGAAAATGTGACCATGTGAGGCACAGCTCATATATGTTGTGACTGAGGATAGTTTTGCCCCTGAGCAACTCAAGAGAAAAACGCTCATTCCCTCTTTAGCTCTCACTTTAGAATTGTTGATGCTTTAGTTACATGAATTTATTTACATGGAGTGGGTGGGGCTTTCCACACACACGGTGTGCGTGTAGAGGTCAGAGGACGACAACCTTCAAGAGTTACCCTTTCTCTGCATCGTGTTGAACTCAGGTTATCAAGGGCCTCTACCCATTGAGACATCCCACCAGTCCTCACTTTAGTATTTTATCTGTTTCCAGAAAGTTGGTATAAGCACACACATAGTGTGTGTGTGTGTGTGTGTGTGTGTGTGTGTGTGTGTGTGTGTGTAGGCAAAACACTCATACATATAAAATAAAATAAATGTAAAGATTTTTAAGTTGGTATGAGAAGCATATTATTAGCCAGGTGGTGGCGGCACATGCCTTTAATCTCAGCACTCGAGAGGCAGAGGCAGATGGATCTCTGAGTTCAAGGCCAGCCTGGGCTACAGAGTGAGTTCCAGGACTACATAGAGAAACCCTGTCTCAAAAAAGAAAAAAGTATGTTATTTTTACTGAGCCATTTGTTCTTAATTATAACGCTAGTCTAAACTCACAAGAGAATTTCAGAAAACATAAAAGAAATCAGAAATTAGAGGGGGAAAGATAAATACACAGTGCTTCCAGATATAGTTAACTTTGGTCAAAAGGCACATGAAATCTTTCACCTTTAAATATCTTTTGTTTGACAGAGTCTCTCCACACAGCCCTGGCTATCCTGGAACTCACTATGTAGACCAGGCTGGCCTCAAACTCACAGAGATCCACCCACCTCTGCCTCTCAATGCTGGGATTAAAGGCACACACCAACACACCCAGCTTCCCATTAAATGTCTTATTATTTACAACTGAAATCATAATGCACTATCAAATTTGCATTCTGATTTTTTTCACTTAGTAGTGTATCATGAGCAGATTCCTATGCCACTGGATGATTTTATAAATGTCTCTTGGATTGCCGCCCAGTTTAAGTTATATGGATATACTACAGTTTCAGCAATTTGGGGACCAATAGGGTATTTGTAGCTCTTCGATGTTTGAAATAATGTTGCATCTAATTAGCACAGAAATGCTCATGTATTTTCTCAAAAGTTATTTCTTTAGACTGGAGTCCAAAGAGGCATGCTGGCTAGTCAAAGATTGCAATCATTGAAGACTCTTCAGATAGACAGGTGAGATAGATAGATAGATAGATAGATAGATAGATAGATAGATAGAGATAGATAGATAGACAGACAGACAGGGAGATAGACAGATAGATAGATAGATAGATAGATAGATAGATAGATAGATAGGCAGGCAGAAAGATAGGCAGGCTGATAGGCAGAAAGACAGACAGATGGGCAGATGGATAGATAGAGAGATAAATGATAGATAGATAGATAGATAGATAGATAGATAGATAGATAGATAGATAGAGGCAGATGGAGAGACAGACAAACAGACATATCAAGTCACTCTTCCAGTTATACTTCGGGCATCCAGGTAGGAGAGGGCTTATTTAGGTCCTCTCCCACTTCCATTCAGAGGCTCTCTCCTTCTGCATGTGCTAATTTTAGAAAACACACACTAAGAATTGGTTAAGGAATCTGAGTACCGTGTCTTCCAAGTATGAGAAGAGAACACTACTTAGAGAAAAAGAAACACCAGCATGAGGCAGCCTCTGGCCTCCGAGTGGGGTACAGCTCCACATCTCACCGCCATTACCTCCGCAGGGCTCCAAGGGGGACGGGAGGCACGCCTGGACCCTGAAGCACTTCAAGAAGCCCACTTACTGTAACTTCTGCCACGTCATGCTGATGGGTGTTGGGAAGCAAGGCCTGTGCTGCATTTGTGAGTACACATCCTCCAAGCTCTTCCCTTGGGCTGTTTGCTTTGTACCCGGTTAGTTGATCCATCCCAGGGAAAGTCTAGGCACGTTTTCCCCAGATGGTGGGATCTCCCCTAATGTTTCAACGGCAAGGCCTCTGTGCCCTGCTTCGGGTCTAGCTGAGTCGAGTGGACAAGACGTTTACTGCTGCTGGAGTCACGGTCCACTGGTCTTCTAGAAAGAAGTATTAAAGTTCTCACATAAATTAAAGCACTCACACCAATTGCAGTTGTGTTTCTAGCCAACGTGCATCTCACGTGTGCTTAGAGGCGCTTTCTAATTAGTTAAGAACATGCTCTATATTCTAGAAGTGCAACGAGAAATACAATTATACTTTTACTTCATTTTGTCCTCCATTTAGTAAAACTGGAGGAGAAAGCAGAAAAAAAAAATCACACATGAGGATTAGCTCAGGACTAAGATGGTAAACACAGAAAGAAATGGAGGGAAGGGGAGAAGAAAGGTGATTTGGGGAAGGGAGGAAGAGCAAGAGGAAGCAGGACTAAAGTCGGAGGCTCCAGAGGGTCCGGGAAAGTGGCTACACTGAGCCCTGCCAGCCACCTCGTGGTCCACCCATCTTTCCAGACCCACTCAAACATCAGCTCAACATGTTCTCACTCCTGGTGAGTGGGAAACCTCTGGTCCTTTGCTATTTGCATAATCACAGTTACAACAACAGTGACCAATTGGGGGACACCTAATCTGACCCCGCACATGGTGCTTCACACAAATGTCTCACTTGATACTGCAAAGTCCCTGCCCTGGAAAGAGGAAGAGAAGCTACTGTGTGCCCATCGACAGAGGATCCTGAATATCTCCCTCCCCCTCTCCCTCTCCCTCTCCCTCTCCCTCCCCCTCTCCCTCTCCCTCTCCCTCCCCCTCCCCCTCTCCCTCTCCCTCTCCCTCTCCCTCTCCCTCTCCCTCTCCCTCTCCCTCTCTCGGTTTTTGGTTTTTGGAGACAGGGTTTCTCTGTGTAGCAGCTCTGGCTGTCCTGAAACTTGATTTATAGACCAGGCTGGCCTCAAACTCACAGAGATCTGCCTGCCTCTGCCTCCCAAGTGCTAGGATCAAAGGCAAGCACCACCACTGCCCAGTTGATCCTGAATTTCTAAAGGGCAAAACCATTACTCCAGATGCCGTGGGTTGTGTCCAATATTGTCCATCAGCCCAGTGACCATGACCTTTCTGTCCACTCACGGGCATCCTGACATACAATGCTGAGGCATCTGTTTCACACCGCTCCTTCTGACGTCACTTTTCTGCCCGCTCCTTCTGACGTCACTTTTCTGCGCGGTCACTGCCATCAGAGGAAGGTGGTGTGAAGAGATGGGAGCGCTGGAGAAGAACTGGGAGGCAGCTGCAGACTGCTCAGAGGACAATAGCCCAGTGTTAGATTTCTGCTAGGCCAGGCCGACTCCATGTGTCTCTTCTCCTCACTGACCACCCAGAAGGAGAAACAAGCCTTCACTGAAGTATGTGCACCGGGGAAGCCGGGCTGGATCTTTCCTTGGTGGCATTCATAAACACTGTCCTTTTTCTTTTTTCCAGACTGTAAATACACTGTCCACCAACGCTGTGTGTCCAAAAACATTCCTGGATGTGTGAAAACATACTCAAAAGCCAAAAGGAGTGGCGAGGTTGGTGACCTCCATTGGCTCATTCTACTGCATGCTGCCTCAGGGACAGCATGGCCATCATCACAGATTCCTTTGCAGGAAGGGGCTCTGAGAGATTTCTCTAGTTCCTTCTCTGCCTCAAGGACCACCCCTAAGCCATCCCACTCATCCATCAATCCATTCAGCATCTTCCTGAGGCCCACTGTATGCCAGGCGCTGAACCAGGGCATCCACAGGTTATGAGAAATGGTATCCAATCCGCTAAAATGCTGCCCAAGTTATGGAGATAGATAGGCACGTGGGCATAGTGCAAATACACAGCTGTGAGGTGTGTGCTATCTTAATAGGCCCATATGGAATGTGCAGCTGAGGCTTGAAAGAAAAAGTTTCACCAAGGAGGTGGCACTTGCTTTGTTCTTGGAACCGGGGGAGCTTCAAAGGGCATAGAACAGGGCCGAGCATTCTAGCAGAAGGGGGTTCCTGTGTACAGGCATGGAGACATGCGTGACTCCGGCCCGGAATTAGTTTGGAATGGCTGGGTCAGAAGATGATTACAGGGAAAGGCAAGGAGCTGTGTTCACGAGATGATGAGGTGGAGGAGGGTTTGGGAGACCAGCTCCAGAATTAGAAAGCAGTCGAGGCTCAGGGAGAAGCTTCAGACACGAAGAGATGGTGAATTTGCCAGTGACGTGACTCTTTCTGAGGCTGGTGTAGGAAGGAAGCCAGAGGGAAGAGCATTCTTCCGGTAGTTACGGCACAAGGTAGCGCAGCCCCGAGGCCGAGCGGATTGGGCCTGTTTCCATCCACCCTTTCAGGACTGGGTTGTGTCTGAGTGTCCCTGACAGACTCCACTAACAAAGGTAGAGAAGACAAAGGAAGGAGACTGAAAGGCAGCTGAGAACAGCAGGTCGAGGACCTGGGCACGCGGATGCCAAGGATGAGCGGGGTAGGGAACGGCTCCCAGGGCTCTCCGGGCCGTTGGGTAGTGCCATGAGCTGAGTGTGGAATCAGATTGCCCTTAAAACTGGGGCAAGATCATCTGTCTTGCTGCAGAGGGAAGATGTAGCTGAGGAATGTGAGTCGGGAGATGGTGAGAAGGTAGGAGGGCTCACAGCCGTCCCACAGAAGGCCTCCTGGGAGGAAGGCTCCTCATGTGCGTGCCCCATAACCACTGCATGACCTCTGACCTCCTCTTTCCACACCACTCCTCATACGTACCCCTCCATGTCCATGCCTGACCTCCACCAGAACACACAGTGGGTCTCCTAGGCTCGGGCCTTTGCCTGCGCTCTCGGCATCTGACGCAGAGAACAGGGGGGCTCTACTGAGGGACCAGCAGAGCACACCCACAACCTTGTGAGCCTGCAGGGACAACCCAGGTCTCTCACCACTTCTTCAGAACCCCAGACAGGCTGAAAAAGGCAACACGGTCCTGGGACAACAACCCTGAGGCCTGAGTCAAAAGATCCGGGCTGTGGGTCCCTGTGTGGCTACTCACCAGCCTTAGAACCTAATGCCAGTCACTTACCTCCCTGAAGCCTCAATGTGTCCCTCTGCAAAATGGAAACGATAATCTCAGTGCATATTCAGTGTGACCATGTAGATGACAAATTCACTCACTTTGTGCCCTCAGTGATGCAGCTGGGGGTGAGAAGCCACAAGCCAAGTGTGACACGTCTTTTGGAGCAATAGATTACAGCAAAAAATAGTCTGGGTGAATAGTGTCACGCGGCTGCTAAGTAATTTAAAACATTACTCTTGTTTAATGCGAATAGGGATAATACCATGTAGATAGTTCGCGTGTTTCTAATATAGTATTTGAAGCTGAGCACTGCCGGATAGGCCCCCACTCTCCCACACCTTCTTCCTTCTTAGTGGTAAGTCCTGAGTTCTCTGGGACTCTGTGAGTACAGAGGCTCCCAGGCACTGGGTCAGAGGTCCCCATTTTTGCTAGAGGTATGCATACGTACCCTCCTGGTCTGCGCTGGTGGCATTTCCCAACCAGGGAGCAGCTGCATCCAGATGGCCAGGAAATGGGTATGAAAACGACCCGACGGTGCCCTGACTCACTGCCTTTCGCTTTGTAACCCAGCTTCTTCCAGATTACTTCTCAGGTATCGTTACACGTGACAAGCACTCAGGGCACTTTAACGCATGTGAATTGAAATCACACAGGGACACTTTAGTCAAATATCTGAGGCCCCAACCCCAGAGACTCGTTTATTTGGAGTGTGGGCTGGGCGTTAGGACTTCTAGAAAATCCTCAGGTGATTGTAATAGACGGCTGAGGCTGAGGTGAAGGAAGCAAGTTCGCCAGGGAAGATTTTCAAATGCACTGTTTGATTGCATCTTCCCCGAACCCCAGAGGTACCTCATGCTGGCGTCTAAAGAGGGAGGTCCAAAGACTCAGAGGTTCCGAAAGTGGCCAAAAGGCACCCTGCTGTGAGGTTCAAAAGGGGTGACTCCCGAAGGTTCGGTCTGTACCCCGGCACTCCGGCTTTCCCCGCACCACACTGCCTCCTAGAAAAGGGCCCCCATGAGGACAGGGCTCACCAGGGTGTTCTCTGAGGCAGAGGGATGGCAGGCGAGATGCTTGCTTGCCAGGGTGAAAGCTAGTACAAAGTGGAGAAAGACTTTAATCTGCTTTGTTTAGCACGGTGGCCAGGGAGGGAGGAACTCGGCATCCCACAAAGAAAGCTTCCACGACTGAGGAAACAGGGCCCTCGTTGCTCCTCGTGCCTCCCAGTTCTTTGTTCCCTGGGCCCAGGGGCGTGGTTCCACTGCCTTCCCTGGTATCCATCCCTTCCCTCCCACAGGTGATGCAGCACGCGTGGGTAGAAGGGAACTCCTCCGTCAAGTGTGACCGGTGCCACAAAAGTATCAAGTGCTACCAGAGTGTCACCGCGCGGCACTGCGTGTGGTGCCGGATGACGGTGGGTCGGTGCCCAGGGCGGCCCTACTTCTTTCCAGTATGGGATTGGCCCGAGCTGTAGCCTGGGACAGTGAACATCCTTCCAGAGGGCAAGTGTAGAGTGAAGGAATAAGGCGAACAGGGTCCCAGAGCCCCATCCGAGCCTCTCAGCCTATGATGACTCCTCAAGTTGCCCAGAAAGGGGGACTGGGACTGCTTAAGAAGTTAGTCAGCCTACTGCCTACATGAGCAGCAGCTGGGGACAGCAGGCTAGAACACGAAGTCTCCTTCACCTGGGGCTGGGGTACCAGCAGACTGGGACAGGGATTAGATACTGGAAAGCTCGCTCACCCACACCTTAGAGTTAACACTTGGCCCAAAGGCACACTCCTCTCAGCAGCGCTGGGCCTCACCCGGAGACCTGGTCGTGCTTCTGCCACGCTCATGCCAGAGTCCACAGCTTTCTGAACATGACAGATGCCACCTGGGCTGCCCAGCCTGCCTCCCAAAGCTAATTCTGGGCAGTGTCTTGTGCCCCCTGGCTAGGTATCAGTCCGAAAGAGGTGGGTCCCCCGCCCCAAGCCAGACAAAGGACTCTCACACTGCAACAGTTCAGTTGTCTCTATGCTCCACCCTCTCACGGTTTTATTCTCAGAGGTAGCCTTCCTTCAGAGTGTCTGAACCGGAAATCCACACAGGGGGCCACATTTGGTCTCATTCCCAGGCCCCTGACAGACACGCCGCATGTTCACACACATACTCCACAATCCTGTGAAAGCCAAAGCTGGCAGTGCTCTAAGATGCAGGGGCACTTGCTTGCTTCCCCAGAAAGCCTCTGCGCCCACCTTCCTGATGTTTCTTGGGTCACTTCTGCTCATCCTCATCTCCATTTTTCTCTCCAGTTCCACCGCAAATGTGACTTATCGACGGTGTGTGACGGTGGGGAACTGAAAGACCACATTTTGCTGCCTACCGCCATATGCCCCTTCACCCGAGTAAGTGCTCCTACCCCCACCAGGGCTCCGGCTTTTCTAGAGTCTGGAGTCAGAGACAGGCAACACTCACGACTTCACATGCCCTCGCTGTCTCCCCACCAGTTCCTAGGGCTTATGCCTTGGTGAATGCTGAAAAGAAATCAGTGCTGCCCCAGCCAGATGGAGAGAAAAAACTCTGACAGGGCAGCTTCCAACTGCTGCTTCCACATGTTTGGAGCATCCTTTCCTTCTGAGCATCTTTCAGACAGAGCCCAGCTCAAGGGACCACCTGCCCTTGGCCTGTTTCTCGGCCTCCTTCATCCCTGCCAAGCTTTCTCCTCTCTCTCTCGAGGGCTCCTACCCAAGTGTCTCAAACAGATTTGGAAACAAATGGAGATAAATTGAGCTTCCATTGCTCCCACCTGAAACCTTTTCTGCCTCCTGAAGACCCGCACTTCCATCTCGAAATCGCTGCCACTGGTCCCTCCCCTCTGACCCTCGCCTGAAGCAGACACTATTTTGTCATTTAAAATCCTTTAAGAAAATCACCACTCAGGAAATCCATTTGTCAGTTTCCATTAAGTTAGAGATACACAAACCCCATATCCCTAAAACTGCCCTCCTGTGGAGAAACGCAAGCATTTATTCCATCAAAAGACGAGGACACAGCTATCCACAGCACGGGTGAATAAGCTGAGCTCACGTAAAGACTCACAACGGCGTAATAGGAAAGGCAAACCACGCAAAAGCGGACAGAGATGCTCAAAGATACAAAGCTAAACACAACAACACAAAATTTAGGTGCACGGGGCTGGAGAGATGGCTCAGCCATTAAGAGCACTGGCTGCTCTTCCGGAGGTCCTGAGTTCAATTCCCAGCAACCACACGGTGGCTCACAACCATCTGTAATGAGGCCTGGTGCCCTCTTCTGGCCTGCAGGCATACAGACAGACAGAGCACCATATACATAAAATAAATAAAATTCCAAAAAAAAGTTAGGTGCAGGCATGCTTCATTACTTACTCTCTTGATGAAATGTGTGAAGATCAGGTAAAGCCAGTGTTGTCTGCAGAGGCAGCAGACACACACACACACACACACACACACACACACACACACACACACACACACATTGCATCACACCATGCAGTCTGCTAGACACACTTCAATAGCAGAAACAGAGGATCGGTAGCCATGGTGTCACATCCTGCTGAGCAGGGAAGCTGAGAGAAGGGCCTGCTTTTAAAGCCCACAGCCAATGATTTCTGCCTGTTTCTGTCACTACCATGTCCCAAGGTGGCTGTCACCACAGGTGATGTCACCGCAGGCTACAGTCCTCCCAGGGGCCCGCAGAAGCCTAGAGCAACTTTGCTGAGATCCAGAGTCCCGCTTTGAAAACCTCACGGTTTCCTGTCTGAGCTCTCTGTTGCTGAGCGCCGTTTCTGGGAGCGCTGTGATCTGCTGCTGCCCCTGTAGTAGGCTCTTTCCCTCTCAGAGGCTGCTTGTGTTCTCTCTCTCACAGGACAGGCAAGGAGGAAAGTCGGACAGCAGCGTGGCCTCCAAGGGTGAACTTGTAACACAGGTACCTCATGAATGGGCAGTCCGACCGCTCAGTCTAAGTGGGTCCAAGGGCTGGGGCAGGGAGAGAGCAGCTTGGGGTCTGAGGAAATGTGTCTCAGCATTTGCTTTCTTAGCCCACTAATTCTGTCACACAAGAGGTCATGTACCCGGGCCTCTGGGGTTAACCTTTGACTGCCACCCTATAGACAAGTGGTGAGCAAGGTGACTGGCTGATGCCATTGATGGTCTAGTTGACTTTGTCACCTCCTTAAGAGAAGTTTACACTGGAGAGGTGGCTCAGTGGTTAAGAGCACTGCCTGCTCTTCTAGAGGTCCTGAGTTCAATTCCCAGCAACCACATGGTGGCTCACAACCATCTGTAATGAGATCTGGTGCCCTCTTCTGGTGTGTAGGTGTATATGCAGGCAGAACACTGTATACATAATAAATAAATAATTTTTTAAAAAAAAGAGAGAGAGAAGTTTACATGAAACTACAACATGCAATCTCCTAAACAGTAACAAAAGTGTGGGGTAAAATTGGACAATGGGTTTTCTGTAGCTGTCCACCTAGCTCTAGAACACGGTCTACCAAAACAAAGTGAACCAGATCCAAAGGCTCTCGATCCTTAAGTGTGTATTTAAGACCTCAATTTTCACTAAGCATCACCAACAAATATTTTTTGTGTGTCCTCCATGGAGTCCTGAGGAATGCAGAGAAGGCAGCCAGATGAGGTACAAAGAATGTCAGAACAGGAAGTAGAAGAATGGGCTCTTATCCTATGCCTCCGAGCTTCCGTATCCTTGTTTAAAGAGCGGGTTTAGCATGTCCTGCAACTGCCTGCTTCCCCCAGTGCTGTAGACTGAGACCATGGAGATCCTGCATTTTGAAATTACAAGATAAACTGAAATTGAAGGTGCAAAATAAAATGATCAATAGACAAGAATGCTCTAGACACTCAAAAGAGAAGGCTCTAGATACCAAGAAAAAAGTCTAGCCACCATAAAGGAAGGGGTCTGGACACCTAGAAAAGAAAGCTCTAGGCACCTAAAAGAAAATACACACACACACACACACACACACACACACACACACACACACACACACACACACACACACACTGAGGGCAAGAGACATAAGTTTTCACTGACATCAATTTGACTGGTAGGTCCCATGTAGTATGGGCTATCAAGTACTTTGAATATCACCCCCCAGACTTAAGGGCTTACTCCCCTGGCTCCAAGAGGCTTCTGAGTATCACGCAATTACCCTAGAAGACAAGAGAACTCTTTGAAATCATAAACAATAATAATTGCACTTTGCAAACCTGTCATGTTGTGATAGATGGCTGTGAAGTTTAAAACTAACAAATGCAGGCATTAAATATTGAACACGAAGCCAAGCTGTATCTCTATGTGGGAATATCATTCAGCTGAATCCACAAAAAATTGACCAAGGGTGCACTCCTGTCAGGCACTGTGGGGCCCGTGGAAGCTCCACTCTGCTCCTCATCTTTTCTGATCTACTTGATGGCTTGAGATTTTTCCAGAAAATGAAAGACAAAAATAAATGCAAAGAGACAAATATAAAGACTCCAGGGGATGCTGCACATTTCACGTCGCAGTAGTTTTAGTTGGAGTGGCTGAGGGCAATGTCCCAGAGACAAGGACTCCAGAACTGAGTCCTGGGTTATTCTGGATTTCTTTAAGAGGTTACCAAGAAGAGAGTATTTCAAGCCGTGGGACAAGAGCAAAGGCGTGTGAGCATGGGCCTAGTTAGACACACTCACTGGAGGCAGGCAGCAGGCTTCAGGGCCTGTCGCTGGGAGGACGGGAGGAATGAGGAGAGAGCAGAAGAAAGGGGCAAGGCTGAGAAGGTCTTGATGCCAGGCTTAGAGATTTGGATTTGATCCTGAGAGCAACGGGGTGTCATTACAGGTGTGTTAGTAGGGGCAGCATGTTTGATATGGTCTCCCAGAAAGGAACTGGGCTGGGGGTGTGGAGCATACAGTTTCGGGTAGGAAAGTCCTCAACAGCATGGGAACCATGATGGCAGCCAGGGAAATTCTAGGGAAGGACTTGGAAGGCCAGGCTCTCCCCCTGGATGCCCAGTTGAGTAACCACACCTTTAACAGGAGCAGGACACCAGTCGGGAGGACCAGCTTTATGCAAAACACAGTCTGTCTGGGCATGATGGTGTGGTACCAATGGTGAGGCATCCACTGGATAGTGAGAAATGTGAGCTTAGGAGGAAAACTGGGTCAGGATATGTGGATTTGGAAGGTGCTGGGGCCCGAGTGCTTGTGGTGCACGTGACTTGGTGGATGTACCCCCAGTCTGTTTCACCATGTCCCTCACAGATTTTGACCTGTGGCCATGGGCATACTGCCACACAATTACATAATTTGAAGCTGGTGCCACTGCCCTATCTCTGACGCCAAGCTTCAACTCTCATTGCCATTAACCCCCCTTAAAAGTCTCTCAAGCTGGGAACAGCTGTTTTTCTCCCTCAGAAAGCTCAGCCAGCAGACAAATAGCGCCCCCCCCCCCCCCCCCCGCCTTCCCTGCCTGGGCCGGCTTCCCATCCACCTTCCAACACTCTCTCAACATCATCCTACTGCTGAATAATGCTCATTTCTTTTTCTTCTCATTTTTAAGTATAAGATCATCCCTAGCCCAGGAACTCACCCCCTGCTGGTCTTGGTGAACCCCAAAAGTGGAGGGAGACAAGGAGAAAGGTATGTCCTCTTTTGTTCCAAAATAGAAAGGCAGCCGGGTGTAGTGGCACACATCTTTAATCTCAGCACTCACGAGGCAGGAGGCAGGCAGATCTCTTTGAGTTCGAGGCCAGCCTGGTCTACAAATCGAGTTCCAGGAGAGCCAGGGCTACATAGAGAGACCCTGTCTCGAAAAATAAAAACAACAAAATAGAAATGCTAAAACAGCCCATCCTGAACCCCTTCTTCCCCCTCAACCCCAACAAAGTAGACTGTGTGGTCAAGGAAACCTGGGCTCATGGCCACTTGCCACTTCATCAAGTGACCCAGGTGTGTTAATTCCCCATGCCTCAGTTTCCTCCTCTGTGACATAGATGGCAGTGATATCACCTCTCACAGGGTTACCTTAAGGATTAGAATAGACCTAGTGCTTAGCAGGGGACCTACCACATGAGCCCCTGTAAAGGCTGCCAGAGTCAAGTTCTGAGGGGTCTGTTCCTTCCTGCCCCGCCCCAAGTCTTTTCTTGGTTTAAAAGACTTGGTGAGACTCACCTGATTAGGGCCTCCCAGCCTATCCCGAACCCCACCTTAACAGTGAGGGAAATGCAGGGTTTGGGCGAAGCTGGGGTAAGCTCAGCAGAGTAGGAGGAGAAATGGGTACCGGCAGAACCCTCTGTCTCCCAGGCCTGCACAGTCTGGGAAATGAGCAGATGGATGGACAGCAGGAATCCAGGTTTAGAGAAATAACATTAGGTAGGGCTCAAGCAAGTACTGTGAGGACCCCACCTCGGCCCAAGAGGCAACATGTCTCCTAAACTGACCTAGAGGTCCCAAGCTAGAGCCCAGAAACCGAGGCCAGATATAGTCATTGCTCGCAGTCTCCCGGCCCCACCTCCTCCTGCATGTACTCTTATGAGGATACCAGACCTCTCCCTCAGGCCCCCCAGCACGTCTGGACAGTCTGCAAAGGGCAGACTCACCTACCCAAACCACATAATATCCAGAGGTCTCTAATGGGGAGGGAGCATGGGAACAACAGCCCTGTGTTCTGGGTTCCTCCGTCATCGCTGCTACAATAAGCAGTTCCTGGGGTGGGGCTAGAGTCAGATGGTGGGGCAGCTTTGGGCCAGAGGTAAGGATGTGGGGATGCCAGGTGCACTGGGATATCGGGTGTATATGCAACATTCCCCCTCTTAGGTTTAAGCGCCTGCTGGATCTCACCACAGATGGGTCCCACGGTATTCGCCCCCAGGGTGACTTCTGTGGTACCATTGTCCTTCTCTGTCACTCCTTTCTTTCCCCCACAGGATTCTTCGGAAGTTCCACTACCTGCTCAACCCCAAACAAGTTTTCAACCTGGACAACGGGGGGCCTACTCCAGGGTATGCACATCAGTCTTCTCTCTGGCCTGCTTTGGTCTCTGAAGAAAACGCCCTCCTTTGTCGCCTTTTAAAGCTCTGACTCTTGACTTTTTCTGCCTACCATCTGCTGTCCCTTGGCCCTGGTTATTGCTTGGGAAGTGGCCCCATGCTCCATGTCACTGGAGGAGGTGTTGATGTCAGAGGGAAATCTACGAGCCAGTCACTGGACTGGCAGGGAGGTCCGGCTGGTGGCTTATTTGAACTTATTTGCAAGGCTGTTAGCGTCTCTCTGCAGATTGACACAGTGACCCAGAGTCGGCCATGTGTTCTGCCATGGGCGCATTTCAGTCAACAAAACCATTCTTTTCCTGAATCATCCAATTTTGTAGTGATTACACAGCCCTGATCCTTCCCCCACCTGCCTGCTCCCTAGAGGGGGCAGGGCCTCTGTGGCTTGACTGAAGGTCTGGTGGGCAGCGCTTGTCCTCTTCATCAGAAATTGTCACCTCAGTGGGCGTGAAGGCATCCACCCAGTCAGAGCTGGTGCTCTGGCGCCATCTGCTGGTCCAGGCTTTCACACTGCCTGACCTGCATTTCTACTCTAGATTCAGTGAGGTTCCCTCCCAGGGGCTGGAGGAAGATGCCTATAAATGGAACCTGTCCCTGTCTTTTGGTTGTTTGACACAGGGGTTACTTATAGAAGTGGGAGCATAAGACCCAGTTAAAAGGAGAAAGACACACAGGTGCACATTCACCTATCTGTGAAACTTACTCAGAAGTCAGTCAGGCTCCTGCAGTTGGTGTCACGGTCACGTGTCTGCCAGGGACTGCTGGATAGCACTGCAGTGTGCTAAAACATCAAGTGCCTTTTCGGTCCCTCTCTTGGTGGGTATTTCAATAACACAGGCTTCTCAGCCTTCAGTCTTTCTTCCTGTGAACGACAAGCTTGAGGGCTGCTGACTCCAGGGTGTCTTCAGTGTGCGTGTTCATGTGTGGGCAGACGGGCTGTCCCGCTGAAGGGAGCCTCCATTTAGAATGTACTGCCTGAAGACAGCAGGGGTCTGCAAGGAAAGTGAGGGAGGATAATGACTTGCCAACATTGGCATTGGTGCTCTTCTAAGAACCCCCTGGCTGGGAAGAGAGATGTGCAGGCCTTGAGGTCCCTAAATTGTACCCCCAGGTGTCCACGTGTCCCATTTTCTCTAAGGCAGCGCTTCTTGACACCTTCTGCCAGGAACTCCTGCTGCAATCTGGTGGACTAAACAGAATTTTCTAATGCAGAATATGAAATAATACGGTATTTCCAAGGAAACTAATTATGTTGAGAAGTAGTTATCAAAAACTAAAAGACAAACTTGTGGTATGTAAATGAACATGTTCTGTCAACATATGAAACAGCAATATCCATAGCTGGGTTAAATAGTGACTGTGAGCCGAAAGCCACAAGCTACAGAAATGACAGCGTTCAACCTACGGTTCAGCTGTAAGGAGGCATTGGAATAGCTGTGATGCTCACCTTGACGATCACAGGTGCTGTCGAAGCCTCTGCGGTCTGTTGCCTACATTCATAATGGAAAGAAATGCTAAGTTTCCATTCGAGATTAGAGAAGATATTAATGCAATGTTTTCATGACACTGAATTCTAGCCACAGACCCGTCGGAGGTCCGTGGGCCCCAGATCCTGCTCTATAGGACTCAGGCTCCTGGGAAAAATGGGGTCTTGTTCCCCTTGGCAGGGGGCCCACAGAAGAGAAAATGAAGACCCAGATAATTAAGTGCTTCTCTCTTAAAGAAGTGGTTATAAAGACAGCAGCCAGGAGAGCCTGAGAGGAATCAAAATATTAGGGATTATCTAAATTGGTGCCAAAATGTAAAAACTGAATTCCTCAAATAGTTGAGAAATTCTCAAAAATGTTTTCTATTTATGTTGAATGCTGGATCAGATTCTCTTTCTATTAGGATGTTGGTGCATGCACACACACACACACACACACACACACACACACACACACACACAACATCCTACCATTGATTTTTCTCCATACTCAGTAGCACTGCATAGGAAATTCTGGATTCAGAATGGTAAGTGACGCAACCCCGAAAGAATCAAGAGCTTTCCCCAGTTCCAGGGAGCGTGGAGACACTGACTCAGATGCACCAAGTGTTAAGGCTGGAATGTAGCTCACTGACAGTTTGTTTCATATGCTGGAAGCTAAGGTTCCATCCCTGACACCACACCACACACACACACACACACACACACACACAAATCAAATGTTAGTCCCAACCTAATGACGAGATCCCTGTGGTCTTTCTTCTCTGCAGATTGAACTTTTTCCATGATACCCCAGACTTCCGTGTTCTTGCCTGTGGCGGAGACGGGACAGTTGGCTGGATTTTGGATTGCATTGGTAAGGATGGCCAGGAAGGCCTTTACTTATTTATGGTGGATAAATTTAAAGTCAGCAGAAAGCAATGAACTAAAGAAGGAATGAAGCCATCCATTCTTTATCTATCCGGGTGCCCACCCCTTCATGTAGTCATACTTGATTATATTGGGGGAGGGGTACTGGAAAGTTTTATTGTAAGCTTTGTCTTTAAAAAAAAAAAAATCTGCCACAGACAGAGCTGGGCAGTAGCAAAACAAGATATATCTGAAGCAGGACTAGAGATCCAGACAGAGCCACGTGATGAGTAAAGGCCAAGGAGCTAAGTAAGCATGGGTCATAGTCCACGGCAAATCAGCTGGAGATGAATGCCTGGAGCACGAGTCCAGAAAATGTATCTGGAAAATGCAGATCAGTGCAAGCAGAGAAAGACCACGCTGGGCTGTGTCCTACCTGGAAAAGGCAGGGGAGCAAGCTGGAGGGGTGGAGCCTGAGGTCTAGCCTAGCCCTGCCCCAATCCAGAAAGTGATGGAGATTATCTGTGAACTTGGGGGATGGTGTATAATCAAGACCAAACCCAAGCAGAACCCAGGTAAATTCTGCAGTAGAGAACAGAAAGACAGGAAAGCTGCCAACAGAGGCACTGGGGTGGGAGGGCATCAGAGTCAGAGGGGCAGGACCCAAGCCACGAACCCAGGGCTGCTCCACGCCTTCCATCAGGCATCACACAAATGCTGCCTCAAATCCCTATGAGCCAAGTCCTCTTGGAGTCACTAGAGATGCCACCAATGAACGAAGAGGCTAAATTACTGTCCTAGCAGAGCCTGTTTCTAGAGGCAAGAACCAGGTAACAAAGAAATAAGTGAAAGATACAGAGCACCAGAGGGCAGTAAAAATATAAGAAGGGAGGAACAAAGGAAGTCTAGGAGTGGAGTGGGGTTCCAATCTAGGAATAATCAGGAAAGACCTCACAGGGTACGAAGGGATGCTATTTGCAAGAACTGGAGAATGGAGCTGTGTGGGTGTCTAAGAGGACAGTCCAGACAAAAGAAACAGCAAGGGCCAAGGCCCTAAGGTAGGAACAGGTTGGGTTGCTGAAGGCAGACCAGCGTGGCCAAGAGCAGAGTACACACAGGAAGCCTTACAGAGAGGTTGAAGCAGAGGGAATGAGTGAGGGTCTGGGTCACATGGGTAGGTAAAGTGTTAGGTAGAACATGGCTTTTAGAGTGGAACAGTCCCAAGACATCAGGTGGTTTTAAGCAAAGAAGGAACGTGGCAGGCTAAGAGACAGAGCAGAAACAAGGAAACCAGTCAGGAGGCTCCCACGGTGACCCAAGTGAGAGGTGACCGGGGCTGGGCCACAGCGGAAACAGGAAGATGTGAGGAGGGTGCAGTGTATGTCTTTAGGGGACAGAGGCAGCAAGGTCTGCTGACATCTGGACACAGTTGGTAAAAGGATGAGAAGAATCAAGGTTGGCCAGAGTTAGACCCCAGCCAAGTCAGGCAGGGAAGGTGAGGCCTCCAGAGTGGGAGGGGAGAAGGCACACCAGCTACCTGCTGCTCCCCTACAGCCAGGCTTTGGTTCGCATGCACACACACACACACACACACACACCAGATATATACATACACACATACACACACACACACCAGATATATACATACACACATACACACATACACATACACACAGATATATACATACACACATACACACATACACATACACACACACATACACACACACACACACACACCAGATATATACATACACACATACACATTATACACATACATATACACATCACTCACACATACACGTCATACACATACACATACACATTGCTCACACACATCAGACATATATATATCTATTACACACACACGCCAGATATATACATACACACACACACCATACACATAAACCTCATACACATCGCTCACACACACATCAGACACATATACATCACACACACACACACACCCCAGATATATACATATACACACATCATACACACCTCCTCCCCCCCCCACCCCCCAACAGCACTCTGCTGCCACTGTGGGCTCTGAAGTTTGTGGGAGGAGGAAAGACTCTCGCACCCAGCAGCTAGGAGGAGAGGCAGCTAGCTCATGGCTGCAGTCCCCTTAGTCCCACTCATTGAGAGGAAGAAACAGCCCTTGGAGAAACACCACACACAGTTCCGCTGCAGAGAACATCGGAGACAGATAGAGCTCGGAAAAGAGAGAGATGTGAGATAAAAGGGATATTGTGCTTTTTCTCCAGGTTAGTGGTTCAAAGAGAAACAGGGAGGAAAGAGGTAACTGTGTAGTGTGCTCCTTTCTCCGCTCGGCATTTGAGCGCTTGCGCCGTGATCTCCACCACCCCACTGAGATTCTCCTCCCACCTCCCAGCTACAACCATAACGCTCTGCCTAACACCAGCGGGTTTGTGGTGTGCATAAGACACCCAAAGCTTCCTATGGTTCCTCAGAAAATGATAGAGACTCTTCTAATGACCTGCCGGGCTGAGGCAGCTGAGTCATTGCTCTCCCTTCTCTCCTTTTCGGGGGGCGAGGGTTCCAGCTACCCAGCCCTGCTCTCAGACCCTCAAATGTGGCAGTCTTTCTCCCCACACAGAGCCTTGTCCAAATGGTCCTCCCGTCTAGAGTGCTCCCCAGCCTCAACCGAAGGATAGCTTCTTTGGGGGGTCGGGGGGCTCTCCTACACACCAGCCAGCCACAGTCACCTTGTAACAGGACCAGTCCCCTTCCCTTTCCAGTAAAAAGGTGCAATCGTACATTATGTGTGCAAAGACCTCGGTGAGCCTTGTCTCCGCTGCAGACTGTCGGCACCATGACCGCCTGGCCAGGGCCACCTCCCACCACCTCTGGCATATGGCAGGTCTCAGTGGATCCAAGTAGAGATGCCATGGCAAATGAAACACACTCTCCCCGGAAGTTACAGTCCATTCGGGGAACAAACCAGTGAGCAGTTACAAGAGAATATGCTACGGTCACCACCCCTGAGGCTCCAGAAGCATAGAAGAGTCACCAGGTGCAGACCCAGGTGACAAGAGGCGGCTTCTGTGCTGAGAAGCAGGAGTGTTAGGACTGAGAACACTTTGGGAAGGTTTCCTGGTAGGTTGGGAAGCCAAGTGTGCCGAAAGTGAAGGCTGGGAGGAAAGGCAAAGCCTCGATCCTGAGGCCTAAGTATGCTGAGGAAGCCGCAACACTGGTAAAGCAGAGCACGAACATACAGGGTCTGGGCCCAGGCATTGCCCTCCCGGGCAGAATGTGGAGAACACGCTGGGAGGGTGGACTTGGAGGTGGGAAGAGAAAAGGAGGCTGTGGAACCAGAGCAGTGTAGAGGAATCAGCCCCGCACTCACTCATTGTCTCCGTGGGGATGGAGAGAGGAGGTGGTTGGGAAATCTCTTCTGGAGACGGCTCCTAGGCAGTGCTGTGCCGGTGAATGGGGTTGAGGAAAAAGGGAAAGTTAGGATGGCATGCAGATCTCTGGGCTCAGTGCTGTAAGGACGGCTAACCCGTCAAGGTGTCAACCACAGGAGAAGGGACAGACATAAAGAAACAGGTGCCCTCCGGATGATGGGAGACTCCAGTCACATGTCAGGAACAATCAGAGTTCATGGCATCACTCCATTTTCCACCTCAGCCCATCAGTGGTCATCTCAGCCCCAAGATCAGCCACGTCGGGCACAGGTCAGGCAACTGGTCCTGCCTGTGAACTCTGCGCTGCCAGGGAAGCCCCAGTTTGAGCTCCCCGCACTGATCCCCGCAGCCCTCCCTAACCCCTACTCATGGCTAATGTGCTGAGCACCTTGTAGGGCAGGGTCTGTGTACATGCCCCCTTCAAAAACCAACCGGTACCTGTACCTCCCCCTCCAACCTTTCCTGCCCTGCCAACATGCTGAAGACTACAGGCAGACGAAAGCACGGTTGACTGCAATTTTTCTCTGTTCTGGTAATGCTCCTGCGCAATCATGAAGGGAAAAAAGCGACAGGAGTCATGAGATAATAAACTGGGTATGTGGGTGTCAGGTAACACCTGGAGGCTCCCCTGCTTTAGCACGGTGTTGTTTCTCAAAGCATTAAAATATAAATGGCTTTCAGTGAGCTTTGTCAGTTTTCCAGAGACCCCACCATCCCCCACCGCCAGGCACACCTCCTTCACTCTGCCCTGCCTAGCCCCTGAAGACAGCAGAATGGCCTTGAAAGCCACAGATCTGAGTTTGGATCCAGGCTCTGGAATCGCTTCTCCTCCATAAACCTCCGCCTTTGCTAGGTGGCTGTGGGCAATAAATGGAAACAAATGTTGGTCACCATTGAGTATTAAAATCACATGAGCCAATGCTCTGGCCACATGTGTTGTCACCTTGAAGAACAGAATTGGGACATGTTGAGGATAAATCGGTGCAAATTACAGGGAGAACGATTTAGCTCAATATGAAGAATTGATGGGCAACTTCAGCAAACTTGTAGCGACTAACACGTTGCAAATATTGTGGATGGCCTCAGCAAGTGGTGTGTTCTCCATTGCAGAAGGATTTGGTGATTACAGTGGGGGGCGGGGCAGGAGGAGGCAAGCAACAGGTGGGGATTATAAACTAATGCAGCCATCTGTAACCACGAGGCATGTCTGTTCCTACATGTGGGTTGCAGATAAGGCCAACTTCACAAAACATCCACCAGTGGCTGTCCTGCCTCTTGGAACAGGGAATGACCTGGCAAGATGTCTCCGCTGGGGAGGAGGTGAGTCTGCATGCCTCTGATGTCACACTGGAGCCAAGCATTTGGATTTTCAGCAGGGGTGGGGGGTGGGGGGAGCGCGGCTGGGGTGGGGGGTGCTGTGCAGAGCTAGGCAGACTTACCTTTTACGGGTCAGTTCCCACAAGATGGTAGTCAACAACAGTCATTTCTGATCCATGATCCTGCCATTCCATGCTGGGTCTGGAACAGGAGCCCCCTCCTCTGGGTTCCAGGATCCTGCTTAGGCTCTTCAGGTTTGACTATAGTCCTGAAGCCATCAGCTGAGAGCCCGCCTCCTCCAGCAGGACATGGCCAACTATAGGATAAAGACAAATCTCTTCCAGCCCCTCCTGTCTGCTCGCCCAATACATGGATTCAGAATGCAGACTGAAATACCGCATCACCAATTACTCATGAGACACTAGGGACATCTGGATTATCAGGCCCCCGGGGCTATGGGCTTTCATTTTGAAATTCCCCTAAGTGGAACACGGAGTGGTGACGGCTTTTAGAGCAAGGGTCAAGGCAGCTAATGCAGCTGGGCATGCGGCTTGTGGCAGAGCACAAAGCCCAGCTCCACCGGGGGAAGGGGTGGATCCATTAAGGGAGCAATACCAGACCAGGCCAGGACACCGGTACCCGGGCTCTTTTGTGGAGGATGAGACAGAAGAAGTCATCGCACCAGGATGCCCTATCACCATACAATACAATCTTGGGGCAGATCCACTGTCTTCCACACAACTTCCCAGCCCTGCAGCTGACCAGTCTCCCCCTCCCTCCTTTCCTTCTCTCCTTCCTTTTTCTTTCTTCCAACTAGTGGTATATTTGCTGTATAAAATAATACATTTTGTTAAGCCTTTCTCATATATGTTTATCCTCTTCTTTCATCTTATCTAAGACTAATACCTTCTCCTGCTCCACATCCTATTACCCACTTCCTTTTCCAATAGTCCACCTTCTGCCTTCAAGTCAGGTGGGTGGGTAGGTGGATGATAGGTAGATATATAGATGGATGGATGGACAGATAGATAACAGATGGGGAGATGGGTGGACGATAGATACATATTGAGATATATGTAAACACGTGTTTGATCTCTATTCTACATATGAAAGAAAACAATACCTTTTCTAAAATGTAGATCTAAATAGGTCTAGATTATTTCACTTAACATGATAATCCTTAGTTCTATCCATTTCCTGCAAATGACATAACTTCATTCATCAGGTCACCCTTTCTCTACGGCTTGCTTCAGCTCCAGAGCCGTGCCTGCCTCTAGCTAACACCTATTCCATCCGTTGCTCTCGGGCTTTCGACTCACCACCCACTCAAACTCTTGTTAGTTACTCCCTACTGCCCTCCCCTTCTCCCTGACTCAGAGAACATAAGTGTCTCCAGCCCAAAGACACCCAGAAGTCTTCTAGTCACAAATGCCTAAAGAGTCTCTTGCCCTGCATAAGCAACAACTTCGCCTCTTTGCCCTGGTGGTACACTCCGTGCCCTTGTCCACAGGTTACGAAGGGGGCAGCTTGACGAAGATCCTGAAGGAAATTGAACAGAGCCCCTTGGTGATGCTGGACCGTTGGTGTCTAGAGGTCATCCCCAGGGAAGAGATGGGGAATGGAGACCAGGTCCCATACAACATCATGAACAACTACTTCTCCATTGGTGTGGTAAGTGGGTCATTGATTGCTTTTTCTGAATGACCAAAAAGTGTCTATTGACCCTCTGGGCCCCTGTTCCTTACCTGTTCTGTTTGTCCCCAGCCCTGACTTGAGTCTGAGCATCCTCAAATCTGACATAGCTGTGGTCACCCTGACCATGGCCAATCTGCCCCTTGACTGTAGAAGAAATTCTTACCCCTAGACTTTTAACTAACAGAAGAAAAGACTGGAATTTTTCTTAAAATGTGTCTATCCTTCAGATAATATGAAACAATTAAAGGAAACAAATACCAAGAATTAAAGTCAGGAAGAATCCCTTGTGGGAGTGTGAGGATTTGAGAATTCTGATCTGAGGAATGACCACAGGCATCCACCGGGCTTGGTAGACAACACTCAGACTCCTTCCCTCCTGCTCACACCCCTCCTCCCAGCCCTACCACACACACTCCAAAGTGCTTCATCCACCCGTAGGAGGGTTCTCCCTCTGGTCCTCAGGCTGTGTGCTCTGTATGTGGTGGGCTCATGCATTCCAGCCTTCACGACACTCCTTAATACTGTTTTCCTGAAGTCTTAGGGTTCCTCCCAGCACCCCCACCCATCTCCAGTCAGCCTTCAGTCTGAGCATCCTTCCTTTCTGCCTCCTGGTCTTTGGGATTGTTTTGGCCAATGTCATGTGCACATGAGACCCTCCAGGCCATCGTCTGGTGCCAGATACCTACGCTTGTTTTTTCTTGTGCCTCTTTTGAGACTGTTGGTGATCATGGGGGTGGGGATGGAGATGGGGCCTAATAGATAGCTCAAGGGGATATCAGGTTTAAGGAAGAAGTTTTGCTTTTTAGTTTTAGTTGCTAAAACAACGGGAGAGAAGGGGACTAAAAAATAACCGTAGCTCACGTTTACAAAAGGAGTGAAGTGTTCCCACATTGCGGTGGTTTTCTGTGTTGTTGGTCTCTGTTCTTCTGACGCATGGTAGAACACCGTTTCTTCCATTTTCTGAGTGAAGAAACAGGCTTAGATGAAGGCATTTGCCTTCACCTTCTCACTCTTACTCCAGCACCCTTTACTATGACTGAAGCAGGCAAGGCATTGTGGGTCCAGGGTAAGACGATGTGAGTGTGGAGGTGATGCACTAAGAGTTCCTACGTCTTAACTGGATTATGCCTCTCCCCAAACCCCAGATTCCCCACTTGTGGTAGAGGGACACTTTCCCAAGCCCTCTTTCAGGGCCATCTTCAGGTAAGGTACAGTCACACACACACACACACACACACACACACACACACACACACACACACACCTTTCTTATACTCAGATCCCTCTCCTTCTCTGCCCAGATATCTTCAGCTCCAGACAGGCGGGTGCCCTTGCCTCTGCCAGGCTCCCAGAGTATGGGCATCCCAGCATCAATCTTACCAAACCTCGCATCTCTTCCCTGCCATAATCATCATGCACCTTGCTGGTGTTGATTGGTGCACCTGTAGTACCCAGCCTGATTCTCCCACTGCCGGATTATCCTGTTGCCCGATGTGGTTGTTGCATTTGTGTGAGTCCAAGCCAGTGTGTAGTGGAGCTAGCTGCAGCCTCGGCACAGCCCCCTCCATCTTCACACAGCTACAGGCAACAGGAGTGAGGGAAGGTCTCCAAATCCAGCGGGAGCCGGCTCTGCAGCACCCATCTTTAAAGGGAAATCCCGCCCTGCACCAGAGTCTGACTTGTAATTTGACTCTGTGGCTCTCAGCGAGGTCCGTGTTTCTGCATGTTTAACGAGCCCCTGGAAGCATTCTGATGCTGATGTTCCTGACTAAGGCCTCAAAGAGGGAGACAGCACAGAGCAGAATGTACAAAGGAAGTGGGTCTGGCACAGAGACATTAGAATTGAAGTAATAAAAGAGAGGGACATGAGGAAAGAGAGGACACTGGCACCGTGAAAGCAGCCAGCCAGAACTGATTACTGAGCACCGGGATGGGCTAGGCTGCCCTGGAGCTTCCGGTTGGCAGGTTACAAGCATGCCTACCTTCAGAACCTTCAACACACCTTCGCTCTCTTAACCCAGCTCTGGCTGGAAGGAACACAGTTCCCAATGCCTGTCTGTCTCCACACAGTTGTGCTGTAGACAGCCTCCCCTCAACTAGATACCCAGGCCATAAATGTAAGAGCCAAGAATCCTGGTTTAATGCATTCTTTCAGGAGGAAGGTGAGCGGCAGGCAGGAAGTCGTGAAGGAGGGAGGGAACCAAGGAGAGAAGGGGGTAGGAAGGAAAGAGGCTAATTGCCCTCCAAGGAAGCATAAACAGAAAACCATCACCCTCAGCGGCCAACATGTTTACCCACCTGCCCTAGGCTGGCCTGCAATATTCCAAGGATATCTTTTTCATAGTTCTTTTCATATACCTTTCGTTTGTGCATATTTATTGCCATATTGTAGATGAGCAAGGAGATGGGACTTTTTATCTCATTGATGTGCCCTTAGCTTTCTCGAGAGAATGTTTGCAGGGTATGTGTTCTCGATCTTTAAAAGCTGGGAGGTAAAAATCCTGAGAAAATAAGTACCTAACGCGAAACCCTGGCAGAGCCTGGGGCTGACATTTGCAGAAGGTCTTGCTTCCTATTTGACTTCCCAAACTTCGAGAGAGAAGTAGGTATGTAAACCAAGCAGGTTCTACCTCCTATGATGCTTAAATATATAGGCGGACTCCCCTGGCAAAGAGATGCCTGCAGTGTTTGCCTCGCAGAAGGGCTTGCCATGCCCAGTGAACAAATAGCTGCTGCCTTGCAACTATAAAGATGACGGCCATGGTGCCCCTGGGTGCAAACACACAGAGGGGTAAGTAAGACAGACTCTCCTGGCCTGCCCTGGGAGTCACTGTGGCTCCGTGCTGCCGTATACCCACGCAGGAGCCCAAACCAATGAAGAGTCAGCCATTTGGTTTTATCACCCTCCTATCTGCAGACATCCCCCGGGAAGAGGTCTTCAACAGAGTCATCCAGGACATCACTTCCTCTGACTTCTTTGGCTTCCTCCTCCCCGCTCTCTATTTTTGGAACAGCTGAAAGGTCAGGATGGCCAGGTGTCGGTGACAGGAAGTTAGGGACTAGGAAGTAATTCCTGGAGCTTGTGTAACTCGGAACTCCTCACAGGCTCTGCTTTCAGTGAGTCTTACCAGAGTGGGAAGCAGCTAATCCCTCGACTCAGTGAAACCTATTTTGGAAGCCAGAAGGCCACCAGCCCACACACCATTCTCCACCTTATCGATTGTTATTAGTGTTCCACAGTGGCAAGCCTCCTATCCACTAGGGAAGGTGTCAACAAGACAGATACCTGCAAACTTGGATTCTCTCAGCACTGAGTTCTAATCTGTAATTGTGGGACTCACTGAGATATGACTTGGATATACCAGCCACATCTTTTCCACTCCCTAATCTGTCATAAATTTTAAAAACAATCCGAATTTCAAATAATCTGCCCTGTGGTCTTTCCTGTCTGTGTCTCCAGAAGTTGCTAGTGTGACTTAACCCTGCACTGTCTAGGATGGCAAGCATAAGCCACATGTGGTTACTGTGTGCCTGAAAAGCCTTGCCTAATTTAAGGTGTGTGTAAATGTTAAAAAACAAAACAAAAAAAACACACATGCTTCAAAAATGAGATCTAAGGAAAAATTTAAATATATCAGTAATTTTTATATATGGAAATTATAAAATTTGGGGTATATTGGATTAATTAAAACATTCATAAATTAATTTCATCTGTCTCTTTTTACTTTTTTGTGTGGCTTCTAGAAACTTCTAAGTTACAAACATGCTATATTTCTACTACACAGCACTGGCCTAGACATTCCAATATCTCAGAGTCCAAATGATAGCAATTTATGTTTGAGAGAGAGCCAAAACCTTCCATCTAACCATGCGTTTGAGGTTTGGGCTGTAGAAAAACAGCCCTTGTCCATACTTCATCTCCCCTTCAGCCCATGCCCCATGGCACACCCGCTGACTGGAGGCTATCAGAAATACCATTGCTTCCACTGGCCTGCAATACCCACCACTCTCTCTAGAATGGAAGTATGATGTTGCTGTAATCATCATCAGGAAAGCGTCTGAACCCATTAAATGAATATGCTATGGTCAGTGCTCAGCACAGAGCCTCTCAACGGAGTAAAAGCAAGCTTCGATTTTTTTCTCTATCCCCTAGGAGACAAACATGGTCAGAGTCTTTACACTGTTTTTCCAAGACAGCTTAGCTCTCCCTTGCTGATTCATATATTTGTCAAGAGATTACACTGTCAGATTAGGAGTCACATGCTGAGCTAACAACATTGTAAATGTTGGCTTTTGGAATAAGAAGCTACACAAAACTTAGTAATGGAAAAACCAAGGGTGATGTGCTGTGGGGGCATTTGTACACTGGGTGAAGATGTATTGCTATGATTCATTTCATAAAGAGCTAAGTGGCCAGTAGCTAGGCAGGAGGTTTAGACGGGACTTCCAGGTACAGAGAGAAAGTAGGAGGAGATAATCGAGGCACAGAGGAGACGCCCATGAGACACGGGAGTGAGTCGGGCATACAGAATAAAAGAAAGGAAAAAAAACACGTGGCAAACCATAGATTAATAGAAATGGGTTAATTTAAGTTGTAAGAGCTACTTAAGAACAAGTCTAAGCTATAGGTTGAGCTTTCATAATTAATAAGAAGTCTCCATGTCATTATTTGAGAGCTGGCTGGACAGAGAAAGACTTGTTACAGTGATAAAAGCAGAGAGAAGAGTATCTGCAAATATCCTGGGAATTAAACCCAGGAGTCAGTCCCAGCTTTATTGGGGGTAATAGCAGTGGTGTACTGTAAATGGACATTTTCTGTCCCAACTACCTGTTCCCAAATACTCGGCAGCTGCTTCCCAAATTACCACACAGAGGCTTATATTAATTATAAATGATCGGCCAATAGCTCAGGCTTACTACTAACTAGCTCTTACACTCAAATTAATCCATAATTCTTATCTATGTTAAACACGTGGCTTGGCACCTTTTCTCGGTATGGCATTCTCATCTTTCTTCTCCAAGTTTGCTGGAACTCCCTGACTCTGCCCTTCCTCTTCCCAGAATTCTCCTAGTCTGGCTCTCAAGCTCAAGCTCTTCCTGACCAGCTATCGGTCAATCAGCTTTTTATTAGTAAATGAGAGTAATATATATTCATAGTGTAGAAAAGGATTCTTCCACCGCAGTGTACAAATCATGCCACACAAGATATTGATGTTTGCTTTGGGTTGTTTGTTTGTTTGTTTGGGGGTTGTTTCTGACAAGAGAAAATCCGTCCTTCAAAGGAACACAGATGGAATGCTTACTGGAATTCTAGAAAATCATTTGATAAATGTCACATGTATCTTGTCAGGAATGTTCACAGAAACTTGCTGAAAGACAGACAGGGAGGTGGGCATGGTCTGGGCTAGGAAGAGCTGCTGCCCAGAGAAACTGAGTAGGCTGTGTGGGTCCAGAGGTGGGGGAGGGGCCCTCCCTGAGTTTTGACACCTTCCACCATGTGTCCACAAGGTGACTCTACCCAGACCTTCAGCTCTTGATGAGTCTGAAAACTACAAGAATAAATCAATAGCAAAAACTTAACCGTTAAACTCTTGAGTAAGTAAGCCTAGACCTGCCCTCCCAGATTTCACATGGTGGCTGTTGGCTGGGGTCACTCTTATCTCTAGTGAAAACTTCATCACATATAGTATATACCCCAAAAGCTTCTTCAGTGAATGGCACTTATCTCTCCTGATGCTAAAACCAAGGTACAAGTCAGCAGAGGAAACTGCTCTGTTGTAGTTTCCTTATCAAGAGATGGGATATGCCCAGCATGGTGCCACACACCTTTAATCCCAGTGCAAGGGAGACAGAGGCAGGAAAATATCTCTGAGTTTGAGTTTAACAGGGTCTACATAGTGGACTCAAAGCCAGCCAGAATCATATGGTAAGAGCCTGTCTCAGAGAGAAAGAAAAGGGGAGAGAGAAGGAAGGAAGGAAGGAAGGAAGGAAGGAAGGAAGGAAGGAAGGAAGGAAGGAAGGAAAGAAGGAAGGAAAGGGAAGGAAAGGAAGGAGGAGGGATTTAAGGAGAGAGAGAAGGAAGGAGAGAGGGAGGGAGAGAAGAAAAGAAGAGAGAATATACATTAGCTAAAAATCTCCTCCATGGAATTTTAAGGATCTTTCAGACACATAGTCTAGTAGATGTATTTTAAGGTTTTGGTTGGTTGAATGGTTTGGTTTGTTGAGATAAAGTCCCACCTTGTAGTCCAGGCTATCCTTGATTCTCCTGCCCCAGTCTCCCACATACTCAGCCTACAGGCATGTACCACTATGCCCAGAGATTTCTGTGTTTCACTGTTGCCGTTGAACAAATCTAAATCAGTTCATTGTTTCTGGGATGTACCCTCTCCAACCCAGTCAGCCGATTTATTTCCAGGGTTCAGTACCTGCCCCCACAGTGTTAGATGGGGACTGGGTGATAAGGGGATAGTACACACTCTTCTGTTGGAAAGTAGACTCTGTAAGAAGTGTGGAAGGCTAGGTTTGAAGGAGAATTGAGTTCAGCATTGGATCCTATTCTGGACTACAGACCATGGAGGCCCCAGCATCTAAACCCTAGTCACAAGCATGAGCACGCACAGGATGGCTGTGACGAGAGTGTGAGATGCAGAGACTCGGGGCTGAGAGGTTCCAAAGTGAAGATGAGACACCCAGAAATGTAGTATCATGAGAGCCTCATGGTGAGTTCTGAGGTACAGGTGGCCAATAGCACAGCCAAAGGGGGAGGTAGGACAACGAAGTGTAAGGAAGGGATCAGAGATTCCTGCTGGCTTCGGAAGCAGTCCTGTGGACAGAATAATCAATAAGCAGACGCTACTAAGCTTAATACACTTTTATTATCAGCGAAACTTGAGACACAGACAACAAAGGGTTAACACATAATGGCCTCTACCAGCATCATCTTGGGGTTTTGACAGGCGCTATGTTATGTAAGATGTTATCGTTGCTGGAAGCTGGGTGAATGGGACACGAGAAATGTACTATTTTTGTAACTTCTCATGAGTCAAAAATATTCCCTCTTTTATGCCCCACCACCGTCCCCACAGGCTTCTGGCTTCACCTGAGCAGAGACCCTCACTGTCCTGGGAGGGAAGAGTGGCGTTCCCTTCCCCCTAGAGCCTGCTTTTGCCTCAGTCTCCAAAGAGCTAGGGTCTCTGGCTGAACTGCGGCTGTTCGCAGGGCCTGAGATACAGAGATAATTGCCAGGACCCCGAGGCAACCAACCAAGCTAAGCTCCTAAGAGGACTGAGTGCTGGCACCAGCTTACCCCTGGACGTGATGCTGAGCCGCTGTGACTTGGAGTCTCCGGAATTTGGGCATTCCGGGGGCACCTATGTGTCCCTTCCCACCACCGCTCATGGCCACAACCATTAACCAGGCTTCTGCCTTCTTTTCTTTTGTTTCCAGGATGCTTCCATTGCACACAGATTCCACATGATGAGAGAGAAACATCCTGAAAAATTCAACAGCAGGTAAGCGAGCATGCGAGCCGCTGTGGTGGCACCCCGCCCGCCAGGGACTGCCAGCCAGTGCGGCCTCCCACCTGCTACCACGGAAATGTCCTTGGCCTGGGTCGCCCGGGGACTTAGCTTTGCTGCCACGTTGCCGGAAGGAGGGTTTCCATTTCTAAGAAGAAAAAAATGTCAGAAACCTGCCGCGGCCTGGTTGCCCGTCCCCTCCCGTAAGAACTGAGCAGAGGGAGGCGTCTGGGGACGGGCATGGGTGGCAAGCAGCCTGCCCTTGGTCACCTGGAACCCTTCCAGGGACTCAGAGGTTTCCCCTAAAAGCCCAGCTTCCCGCAGCAGCCCGGGCTTGGGGAGAGAAGGGCTCGGCTGGGGTCTCAGATCCGGGGAGGTGCCAGCCTCCCTTGGACAGTAGAGGGCAGCAGCGAGGCCCCTGCAATGGCAGTAACCCCGGAAGGCACCGGGTGGCCTTGCATGGGAGCCCGCATGCCTGGAGATTGGGTTCAAACATAAAAGAAAGGAGAAAACCAGATCAGTTGCAAGCGAACCCAAACCTGTCTTGCAAAGCGAGTGGAACTGACCAGAACCGAGATGTGACTGGCGTACAATCACCATGGAGTTGTCCACTTTTTCCTCTCTCTCTCTTTTTTGGCAAAGCCCCATCCAACTCTGTCCCCTGTTGTACTATTTCAAGATCATCATTGGATTCCACGCCTAGCCTCAGGCAGATGGAGAACAGTGGGGTAATAATTTGGACTTGATCTTTGAATGTAAAGGGATGGTCATGTATTTAGCCCACAGAATTCTCCTCAAAGCAGAAGTTAGAGTGTTATTTGAGGATATTCACTTACAGCCCAGCTCCTGACTCCACAGCCCGGGAGCGTACCCAGGGCGAGGCTGGACACAGTGAAGTAATGTCAAAGCAGGAATCAGACCGAAGCTGAACAGCTTTAGGGCTGCATTCCGTCTCACTCAGACCCTGGGCCCACAACTCACTACAAACATGTGCTGCCAGCCCCTGATACTGTAGTCACAAACTGACATGCCATCCCTCCCCTCAGCCTTCATCACTCCTGTACAAGTACACAATCACCATTCTTAAACCGATGTACATATCTTATCACACCATTTACATTTAAGAGCCCTATTTACACTGGAAAAGTGAGAAAACTTTAAGATTTTTTTTTTTTGGTTTTTCGAGACAGGGTTTCTCTGTGTAGCTTTGCGCCTTTCCTGGAACTCACTTGGTAGCCCAGGCTGGCCTCGAACTCACAGAGATCCGCCTGGCTCTGCCTCCCGAGTGCTGGGATTAAAGGCCTGCGCCACCACCGCCCGGCTTGTAGGATTTTTTTTTTTTTAAGTCAAATAATCAATCTTAACGAGAAGAAAAGATGGCAGGCACAAAACTCAAGTTCTGTTATGCCCAACGCTTTGTGGTCGTTGATACTATGGCTGAAACTGACAAGACCCGGCCCAGGTTGAGCTTGCGCACTGAGCATGCGTGTAGAGTAGGCTCGGGTGAGAGGAGCTGGTATAGGGGTCGGGGGAACCTCTCTCTCCCTCATCGAGGCTGCGAATTCCCCAGAGTCCAGACTTCCTCACACTAGGTCAGTTTATATGTCAGTTTTGAAGCCTTTCTTGCAACTTCAAGTCTTTTTCCGAGGTGGCCTTGCACTCCACTGCTGGGTCAGACAGGCTGTAGGTGGTGGGTGGCCTTTTTGAGAATAACTGCTTTGGGGTATTTTTCATTGTGTTCCAATCGGGGATCTGGTCATACAGGGCAAAACTTCTGTTTCAGCTCGTTTCTTCCTTGGTGTTCTAAGATGTTGTGTGTCTACATCTCCACATTCCCGTCTGTGTCTGAGGACCTGGGCTGGCACGTCGTTGTCATTGTTACTGACCCTACCAGCGCCGAGCATCGTCCTCTTGGTGCCTGACATGTAGAAGTGGTGCTCATAAGGGAACAGAGGGCCACTCTTGATGACCCACGTAGGCTGAGTGGAGGTTTGCTGTGGCCACCTCAGGAGAGGACTCTGATTTGGACCTATTGGCAGGAGACTGCCTCTTTCCCACACAAATAGTATAAGTTTCATCCTCATCCTCTTGTTCTTCCTCTCCAGAAAGAATCAAGCCCATCCCCTCTCTTCTCCCAGAAAGGCAGATGCCCAGCAGAATAGCAGCCTCAAGATAGCTTTTTGAAAAACACTCCTGCCCATCCTACAGACTTTCAGGGTCTTCTTTACACAAATAACTCATGTGTGTATGTCTGGAAAGATACCCTACGCCTGTGAAATCCATAGGTTCTACCCATCCATCCATCCATCCATCCATCCATCCATCCATCCATCCATCCATCCATATATCCATCCATCCATCCATCCATCCATCCATCCATCCATCCATCCATCCATCCATCCATCCATCCTTTCATTCACTCACTCACTTCCTCAGCAACATCTTTTGATAATATACTGCAGACCACACACCATTCTGTAGGGGTTTGGGACAGATGGCCCGTCACTCACTGCCCCCTGCTGGAAACAGTGTGCAAAGCAAGCATGCATACCAGTGTATGAGAAGTGATGTGAGCAGAGAAGACATCTTCTAAGAGAACAAAAAGCAAGAGCTGGGAGCTGGGCAGGGAGAGTGGGGTTTTGTTTGTTTGTTTGTTGGTTTGTTTTGTGGGGGGTTTTGTTTATTTGTTTGTTTTTTGTTGTTGGGGGGGTTTGTTTTGGTTTGGTTTTGGTTTTTCAAGACAGGGTTTCTCTGTGTAGCTTTGTGTCACCACCGCCCGGCACGGAGAATGTTCTAATGACAGGGATGCCCTGCCCAGGTTAGAGAAATCAAGAATATATTTTACAACTTGATTAAAAAAACAAAACAAAAAAACCAGAAGGGGCCATCCCCAGAGAAGGAATGAGCAGCATCGGAAGATGAAGCGTGAGAGCACAGTGTCCTGGGGAAGAAGCAGCCCTCCCTCCACGCAGCTGTTGCATGGTCTCTTGCCATGGAAAGGAAGGTGTCTCCCTCGTTTTAGAGAATAAGGAAGTAGAAGACAAAATTTCTTCCTATTCCAAAAGGTGAGACTGAACAGAGAGTGTCAGGAAAACCACATTATTAAGTCCAATTAGAATGACAGATCTGTGAGGGGGGTGTGGGGTGGATCATAATATGCACCCGGAATGTCAAGTATGGAGGAATTCGTCATGACCTGCAGATTTTTTTCCCTTCTCACTCCCCAAATCCCATTTACAGGGCAGCTCCTAGATTTGGTGGGGTTCAAGCCTCGTGTTTCACCTGGCAGAGATGACAGGCGTATGGATTTGAATTTACGTCTGTGTGCTTGCTTGAGAAGTGAAGTTGTTCAGAGGGAGCCCCTGTTTTCCAAAGCCACCGGCCGTTTCCTCTGGAGAGCTTCAGGTCTTCCATCTCGTTTGCTTGCCTGTCTGTCTCCAAAACACCCAGGAGTATTCAATTTGTCCACCGAGAGGCAAGCAAGCAGCCATTTTCTCTAGGCTTCCGTATTTAGCATTCGAGATGGTTTTAAAGAGGCAGGTGGCTGTTGCTATGGTTACCTCCATTACACCAGCAGCTAAACTTAGGAAGGGCCACAAGGGATAGGAAAAAAGCCTGGTACCCAGGATTTGAAAATGTAAACGATATTATCAAACAAAGCTTCATTTTACTGGGCTGAACTTAAGTTCCTCAAAGAGTGGTTGCTGCTTGGCTGCAAGCCTTTAGCATTAATGCCTAAGACTGGCCCCTCAGGGATAGATAACCTTGAGGCTAAATATAGGGAGTTGTAATTGGTCTGTTGGTTTTGTTTTGTTTTCAACAACAGAGGAATAGTCAGGGCTGGACTTGCCCAGGAAACCTGAACTTTCACATTGCTAGTCTGCTTGGGAGCTATTCTAGTAATTCTTAACACAAGGCTCCAAAGGCTTTGGGGGTTTGGAGACAATTTGAAATTGTACCAAAAATACTCATGTGTGGAGTGTGTGTGTGTGTGTGTGTGTGTGTGTGTGTGTGTGTGTGTGTGTGTGTGTGTGTGAATCCTAAGAGACATCAAATTATGACTCAATTGTTGAGGTTTCTTAATTCTTCCCCCAGTGATCTCTCTATACTAGTTGTTGCCAGGGAAAGTGGTAGTTTTATGAAGCCAGTATTCTCTCCAGTGGGATAAGTTTGTTAATGGAACACAAGCCAGACCCAAGGAGGTGGTGGTGTGAGCTATCTCAGTCAAGCTAGGCCCCTCCTACCACCTAGTTATTGGTGTGTTTATTATTTATTCCTGATTTAGCAATGTTAGGAAAATTATTGTCACACTGTCCGCATAAAGGACAGAGTTTTAGCTCTACTGAAATTCTAATATGTTAGAAAGTGTTCTGGTGTAAGTGAGACATGCTCACTGACTTTAAGAAATTCATACTCTAGCCAGACATGGTGGCACACACCCTTAATCCCAGCATTCGGGAGACAGAGACATGGGGGTCTCTGAGTTTGAAGCCAGCCTGATCTATGAGTTCCAGAACAGCCAGGGTTCTGTAAAATAAAAGGAAAGATATTCATAGTCTAGCAAAGAAGGGAAAATAATCCTCAAAATTTGTTTACAAAATTATCTTTGAACAAAAGGAATTTACATTTAGTAAGCCATTAGAAGTCCATTCATAAGTAGACTGTGTTTCGATTATGGAATTCAAAACTAAAATAATTATGATTCATTTTGAGCTCCTGTTAGACACCAAGTAGTTAACTAGGTATTTTATAATATAGTAAACGATTTAACTCTCAACCTTACAACATAAGTGTTGTCGTTTTTGAATTGTGATTCTGTGTGATGAGGGAGCAGCCTGGGAGAAAGTGACAGACATCTTTTAAGCAGTGAGCTTGATTTCTAAACTACCTCTAAACTCCAGAGTTCAAGCCCCGACATCTCATCCTCATTTGTACAGATCACTGTTCCAGTGTTTCCAAAGCCTTCTCCTAGGTGCTTTATACATGATCCCACTTGGTGTTCATTATAATATATAAGGGGAGTGCTCTTGTTCCCATTTTAGAGACAAAGAAACCAAGGCTGAGGATGATGGTGATATTGTGTGCTTATCCACCTTTGTGAATTGTCTCTGTGAAAAAAAATACTCTTGTTGGCTTAGGAAGGGAGTA